AGGTTTCGGGGCTGTCACTGGGCAATACGGACTTTCAGCTCCCTCCAAAGATTTTCTATTGGGTTCAGGTCTGGAGACTGGCTAGGCCACTCCAGGACCTTGAGATGCTTCTTACGGAGCCACTCCTTAGTTGCCCTGGCTGTGTGTTTCGGGTCGTTGTCATGCTGGAAGACCCAGCCACGACCCATCTTCAATGCTCTTACTGAGGGAAGGAGGTTGTTGGCCAAGATCTCGCGATACATGGCCCCATCCATCCTCCCCTCAATACGGTGCAGTCGTCCTGTCCCCTTTGCAGAAAAGCATCCCCAAAGAATGATGTTTCCACCTCCATGCTTCACGGTTGGGATGGTGTTCTTGGGGTTGTACTCATCCTTCTTCTTCCTCCAAACACGGCGAGTGGAGTTTAGACCAAAAAGCTCAATTTTTATCTCATCAGACCACATGACCTTCTCCCATTTCTCCTCTGGATCACCCAGATGGTCATTGGCAAACTTCAGACGGGCCTGGACATGCGCTGGCTTGAGCAGGGGGACCTTGCGTGCGCTGCAGGATTTTAATCCATGACGGCGTAGTGTGTTACTAATGGTTTTCTTTGAGACTGTGGTCCCAGCTCTCTTCAGGTCATTGACCAGGTCCTGCCGTGTAGTTCTGGGCTGATCCCTCACCTTCCTCATGATCATTGATCTTGCATGGAGCCCCAGACCGAGGGTGATTGACCGTCATCTTGAACTTCTTCCATTTTCTAATAATTGCGCCAACAGTTGTTGCCTTCTCACCAAGCTGCTTGCCTATTGTCCTGTAGCCCATCCCAGCCTTGTGCAGGTCTACAATTTTATCCCTGATGTCCTTACACAGCTCTCTGGTCTTGGCCATTGTGGAGAGGTTGGAGTCTGTTTGATTGAGTGTGTGGACAGGTGTCTTTTATACAGGTAACGAGTTAAAACAGGTGCAGTTAATACAGGTAATGAGTGGAGAACAGGAGGGCTTCTTAAAGAAAAACGTACAGGTCTGTGAGAACCGGAATTCTTACTGGTTGGTAGGTGATCAAATACTTATGTCATGCAATAAAATGCAAATTAATTACTTAAAAATCATACAATGTTATTTTCTGGATTTTTGTTTTAGATTCCGTCTCTCACAGTTGAAGTGTACCTATGATACAAATTACAGACCTCTACATGCTCTGTAAGTAGGAAAACCTGCAAAATCAGAAGTGTATCAAATACTTGTTCTCCCCACTGTATGTGCCAAGTGTATTGAGGGAACAGGTCACAGTTTGGGCTTGGAGACTGTTTGGATGAAATCTTACAAGTGGTGTCAAGTATGACCTATGAGCTTAAAATGAATTAACTGATGGTTTGGGTTATTTGAGTGAAATGCACTGCTCAAAAAAATAAAGGGAACACTTAAACAACACAATGTAACTCCAAGTCAATCACACTTCTGTGAAATCAAACTGTCCACTTAGGAAGCAACACTGATTGACAATAAATTTCACATGCTGTTGTGCAAATGGAATAGACAACAGGTGGAACTTATAGGCAATTAGCAAGACACCCCCAATAAAGAAGTGGTTCTGCAAGTGGTGACCACAGACCACTTCTCAGTTCCTATGCTTCCTGGCTGATGTTTTGGTCACTTTTGAATGCTGACGGTGCTTTCACTCTAGTGGTAGCATGAGACGGAGTCTACAACCCACACAAGTGGCTCAGGTAGTGCAGCTCATCCAGGATGGCACATCAATGCGAGCTGTGGCAAGAAGGTTTGCTGTGTCTGTCAGCGTAGTGTCCAGAGCATGGAGGCGCTACCAGGAGACAGGCCAGTACATCAGGAGACGTGGAGGAGGCCGTAGGAGGGCAACAACCCAGCAGCAGGACTGCTACCTCCGCCTTTGTGCAAGGAGGAGCTGGAGGAGCACTGCCAGAGCCCTGCAAAATGACCTCCAGCAGGCCACAAATGTGCATTTGTCTGCTCAAACGGTCAGAAACAGACTCCATGAGGGTGGTATGAGGGCCCGACGTCCACAGGTGGGGGTTGTGCTTACAGCCCAACACCGTGCAAGACGTTTGGCATTTGCCAGAGAACACCAAGATTGGCAAATTCGCCACTGGCGCCCTGTGCTCTTCACAGATGAAAGCAGGTTCACACTGAGCACATGTGACAGACGTGACAGAGTCTGGAGACGCCGTGGAGAACGTTCTGCTGCCTGCAACATCCTCCAGCATGACCGGTTTGGCGGTGGGTCAGTCATGGTGTGGGGTGGCATTTCTTTGGGGGGCCGCACAGCCCTCCATGTGCTCGCCAGAGGTAGCCTGACTGCCATTAGGTACCGAGATGAGATCCTCAGACCCCTTGTGAGACCATATGCTGGTGCGGTTGGCCCTGGGTTCCTCCTAATGCAAGACAATGCTAGACCTCATGTGGCTGGAGTGTGTCAGCATTTCCTACAAGAGGAAGGCATTGATGCTATGGACTGGCCCGCCCGTTCCCCAGACCTGAATCCAATTGAGCACATCTGGGACATCATGTTTCGCTTCATCCACCAACGCCACGTTGCACCACAGACTGTCCAGGAGTTGGCGGATGCTTTAGTCCAGGTCTGGGAGGAGATCCCTCAGGAGACCATCCGCCACCTCATCAGGAGCATGCCCAGGCGTTGTAGGGAGGTCATACAGGCACGTGGAGGCCACACACACTACTGAGCCTCATTTTGACTTGTTTTAAGGACATTACATCAAAGTTGGATCAGCCTGTAGTGTGGTTTTCCACTTTAATTTTGAGGTTGACTCCAAATCCAGACCTCCATAGGTTGATACATTTGATTTCCATTTGATAATATTTGTGTGATTTTGTTGTCAGCACATTCAACTATGTAAAGAAAAAAGTAATTAATGAGATTATTTCATTCATTCAGATCTAGGATGTGTTATTTTAGTGTTCCCTTTATTTTTTTGAGCAGTGTATATTCTCCCAGACATTCTCCCAATCAATAGCCTCATCATCAATAGTCATATATTTTATCCACGCTTTAACAATTGAAATATCTTTCCGCTTTAGTAATTGAAGATGAGAGTAAATAACTGACACAGAACCTCTGGACGGGAATGTAAAAATTCACAGCTGACTAAGATGAAGTAAGAATGACGACCCTGGCAAACTGAAAACTAAGGAGACCCTCTGAGTTAAATACATGTATTTCCCCTCGATTATTGACCCCTTTTGCAGACCAGACTTTAGACTCTAATGCTTTATTACCTGAAGTAACAGCCTGGTTATGCCACAGAGGGGTATGGAGATGCCTCTTCCAGTTACTCCCTACACACTTCTCAACCCTCCTAAAATTATATTTTGTATCCTTACCCAATAACCTAGTGGTGGAGAGAGTGGGATCATCATTGCTTAGGAAATTAATACGTGGCAACACACTCATCTTTATGGAAGCAACCCTCCTTTGTAAGAAAGCCAGTATAAAAAATAAAATAAAATAAAATGTATTCACTAACTGTAAGTCGCTCTGGATAAGAGCGTCTGCTAAATGACTAAAAATGTTTTAAAAATGTATAGGAGAAGCAATTGCATTCTGCCTCAAATGCGGCTCTAGAGATAGAATGAATGTCGGGGATAAGTCTACATCCACGAAAAATAGGAATGGACTTGATTCTATGTCATTTGTAGACACCATGGCAAAAGGTTTAGCATACGATCCATGAACCATATCGATAAAATGCTTTCCCAAACCAAATATCCTTAAGGCCGCCCACAATACTGCTATTTGAGCCTGTCAAAATTCATTTCGGGGCTCCTGAGTGGCGCAGTGGTCTAAGGCACTGCATCGCAGTGCTAACTGTGTCACTAGAGATCCTGGTTCGAATCCAGGCTCTGTCGCAGCCGGCCGCGACCGGGAGACTCATGGGTGACGCACAATTGGCCCAGCGTTGTCCAGGGTAGGGGAGGGAATGGCCGGCAGGGATGTAGCTCAGTTGATAGAGCATGGCGTTTGCAACGCCAGGGTTGTGGGTTCGTTTCCCACGGGGGGCCAGTATAAAAAAAATAATGTATTCACTAACTGTAAGTCGCTCTGGATAAGAGCGTCTGCTAAATGACTAAAATGTAAAATGTAAATGTAAATGTAAATTTCAGCATCTAGTGACAGCACAGCGCACGGTGTGTCCAACTGTTGTGTTTCATGTTTTCCGTGCATTAAATGACGGACGTAGATTTGCGCTATTGAATTATTGAGATGGTAGCTAGTGTCCACAAATTCAGATATAAATGAAACCTCAGCCTCAATATGAATGCAACATTCAGGCTTGCCTGCTTTCTGGTCCAATTCTGTCCAGGTTTTTGGAGATAAAATCGTTTTTTTTTTTTTCATAAAGAAAGCAAACAATGACCATTTTTCTTTCTCGCTTGTGTGAAAAAGAGCTGGGAGTCGAGGAGGAAGTCGGCAGGCGGGGGGTAGGCAGGCAGGCATCGTGATCGTTTAGTCTGCCCTGGGGACAAGCTCCACAGTGTCACTGCTGCCCATATTCGGTGGCTGAGCAAGGAGGGCCAGGTGGTGGTGCCGAGCGCGGCACAGTCAAGCGTGGACGCAGCTCATGCTGACATTTGCCTTCCCCGACTGCTGCAGGGGGAGGAAAAATCTGCTTTTCCATATGCTTGTGCTCGTTGCACCCCCTTCCCGGGTCCCTGGCAGATGGCTCCCTGAACATTGTTTACCTTGAGTGGCGGTCCCAGATAAAGAGTGTGTCCATAGGCATTCCCATTCCGCCCAGTTTTCCCCTCTCTCCTTAGCCAAGGAGCCGGTCGGAATGCTCACACACACACACTTGTGTAAACAGGCACATTCTCACAAAGCTACATACCCATCTCGTCACATATTCCCCATCGCATACAGATTCCAGAAAAACCGTATAGTATTTCTCTAACTCGTTCTCTCATTCTACCAGGAACTACCCTGTCCACACTTGTTTGCTATGAGTTGTGTGTAGTGTGGACATATGGCCACCTCCCTGATGGCTGTTTTGTTCCAGACAGACAAGCCTCCAGATGTTTCCGGTGTGGAGGCTGGAGGGACAGATGCTTTTGGCTCGACTGGGGTGGACCGACACTCCATTCAATGGTCCCAAAGCGGAACCCCGCCCCGCTTGGTCACAGAGACCATCACAGTGCCAGGCAAAGAACATCCATCTGCCATAAAACAGAGTAATTATCATCAATGTTTGATGATGTTTGACATTCTCAGTCGATGTTTTAGCAGGATCACTAACCGATTCTGTGGTGGTAGAGTAGATCTAGGGGGGAGGGTTGGGGGGAGACCGTAGCGTTTCCACATCCTCAGCCTTCCATAGTTACACACTTGTCCTGATCTCTGTTACAGGGTTACAACTGGGTCATACTCAATGGTAGTGATGGGGGGGAAATAATCGATACAGTTACATATCAAGATATTATATTGATATTTGACTCGAAGTATCCATTTGTAAAATACATTTATACTTGGTAGCGGTAGCTAGCACTAGTCGGCTGTTCTAAAATGTTTCATCCTATAGCTTGTTCTCCATCTTTTTAAAGTGAGCCAACACATTTTCAGCACTTATTTCCATGACTGATCAAAACACATTTTCTCATGCCCTCTCTTGTCGCTCTGCAGCAGACATACTGTATAGTGAGCAATATGTTTGGAACATCAAATAAAATCACAGTATCGAATCGCAATACATATAGAATCGTGAGAATCGCAATAGATATCGTATCAGCACCTAAGTATCGTGATAATATCTTATTGTGAGTTTCCTAGCAATTCCCAGCCCTACTCAATGGGTCTTCTTTAATATGAAATGTTTTGCATAAACCTCATATAACCTCCGGCGAGTAATGTTGCGCTGTGAAAAATAATTTCATTTTTGTCTATTTGGTCTACGCTTCATCGGGGAGCAGGGCAGCAGCAAGGGGTCCACTGCTAACTGAGACATCTGTCTGTCTGGTCGGGGTGAAGTGCTGCTGACAGATAGCAGAATACATGGTCCTGAGTCCTCAAGGTAGCTTAACCTCCTCTATCCAAGCACATGCTGGTATGGTTTACTTATGGTACATGCAGCTATGACAATCTCCATTTGATACCATTTATATGATGAAATAGGTAGGTACAGCAGGTCACCCATAACCTGTCACCCAAATAATAACAATGTCACATAATTATAGTCAGAAAGATAATGTCACATACTGACATTGAGCACCTAAGATGATCACATTTCTCATGTCTTCCCGTTAGAAAATCACAAATCAACAGAGAGAGACGGACAAAGGCAGTAAAGCAAAATTCCAATCAGGTAGATGGCACGGCACCCACCTTTTCCCGTCTCTGGTAGTCTTGTAACACTGATTAAGGTACACATGAGAAGTGTGCATTAATTCACGGTTAAGCAGCTTGCTGTCTTCCGGAGCATGAAAAAAAAGGGCAAAATAGTGTAAATTATGGGTTGGGGGAGGGGGAGGAAGGCAAACAGGCACAGAGGGTGCTTTCTCTCATCTCAACAGCCTTGGGTCCTCTCACTTGTTTTGTTCATTAATGCCTAATGTGACGGAACACCACTTGTCTCTCCCTTCACAAATGACACCGATGACAACAGAATAGGAAATGATGGGCTGCTGGGAGAATTATTAATTGTTTTATTGCTTGTAACGTTTGTACTAGGTCCTAGCATGTATAAGGCAGCCCATTGACTATACAGTACACAATATATACAAAAGTATGTGGACACCACTTCAAATTAGTGGATTCTGCTATTTCAGCCACACCCGTTGCTGACAGGTGTATACAATCGAGCACATAGCCATGCAATCGCCATAGACAAATATTGGCAGTAGTATGGCCTTACTGAAGAGCTCCGTGACTTTCAACGTGACATCGTCATAGGATGTGGTAATGTCTAGGAGCAACAACGGCTCAGCTGCGACGTGGTAGGCCACACAAGCTGACAGAACGGGTCCGCCGAGTGCTGAAGAGCGTAGCGTGTGAAAAATTGTCTGTCCTCTGTAGCAACACTCACTACCGAGTTTCCAAACTGCCTCTGAAAGCAACGTCAGCACAAGAACTGTTCGTTGGGAGCTTCATGAAATGGGTTTCCATGGCCCTAGCAGCCAAGCGTCGCCTGGAGTGGTGTAAAGCTTGCCGCCATTGGATGCCAGGAGAACGCTACCTGTCCGAATGCATAGTGCCAACTGTAAAGTTTGGTGGAGGAGGAATAATGGTCTGGGGCTGTTTTTCATGATTCAGGCCAGGCCCCTTAGTTCCATTGAAGGGAAATCATAACGCTATAGAATACAATGACATTCTAGACGATTCTGTGCTTCCAACTTTGTGGCAACAGTTTATCTTATCACTCTTTCGCCTCTTAGGGGCCGATTTGCCATATGTTTCAGTGTGAAAGGTTTCTGACTTTCCTAAAGTATTTCTTAGCATTACATCCCCCTCATTTTGTAGATAAGAGGTCAGTAGAGAGATGTTCTTAGTTTGTCTCAGCCAGCCACACCCCATGGTTTGAGTGTTAGACTAGTGCACAGAGCTGTCAGTCTCCTGAGTCCTCCCCAACTATAATCCCTCAGTGCTTGTCCCTGCTGGCCTGCTCTGCACTGACGACTGCCTCCCTCTTGCTGAGTTGGGATGGTCATGGAGGAGTAACAGCTGGGCCAGAGAGCCGTCTCTCCCTAAACAGCGGAAACTTCTCCAGCTGTCATCTGCTCTCTCCCATATGACCCGGCTCTCCTTCCAGCTGCCGCCCTGGCCTCCCACACGTTAACCCACTTCCACCGCAGGAGACCACGCTCGCCGTTTGCTCCGGTGTGTGTGTCTGTGTGCTGCTGGGACCGGGACTGACCCCCCCACTAAGAAGCCACCCCAGCACATAATGGGTTCAATGCAACCCCTGGCTCCCTGAACAAACTATTAGGCTCTGGTCTCACAGGAGATTGAGAGACACTTTAGGTGTTGTTTTTTTCTCTGGCGACCTCAGAGAACTTGGCTCGTACGTGACTCGTATGTAGCTCATGCAGTTTAAAGTTTCAAAATGCCTTTGCTGCACCAAACTCTCTTGCAAGGTGACGCCATGCGAAAAACAAAACTTAACACATGTTCACTGCGCTTTCCATACTAAACGAACAGTAAGCGCATCTTAGCTAAAACATTTGTCAGTGCATTCAGAAAGTATTCAGACCCCTTGACTTTTTCCACATTTTGTTACGTTACAGCCTTATTCTAGTATTCAGACCCTTTGCCATGAGACTCAAAATTGAGCTCCGGTGCATCCTGTTTCCATTGATCATCCTTGAGATGTTTCTACGACTTGATTGGAGTCCACCTGTGGTAAATTCAATTGATTGGACATTATTTGGAAAGGCACAAACCTGTTTATATAAGTTCCCACAGTTGACAGTGCATGTCAGAGCAAAAACCAAGCCATGAGGTCGAAGGAATTGTCCGTAGAGCTCAGAGACAGGATTGTGTTGAGGCACAGATCTGGAGAAGGGTACCAAAAAATGTCTGCAGCATTGAAGGTCCCCAAGAACACAGTGGCCTCCATCATTCTTAAATGGAAGAAGTTTGGAACTACCAAGACTCTTCTTAGAGCTGGCCGCCCTGCCAAACTGAGCAATCGGGGGAGAAGGGCCTTGGTCAGGGAGGTGACCAAGAACCCGATGGTCACTCTGACAGAGCTCCAGAGTTCCTCTGTGGAGATGGGAGAATCTTCCAGAAGGACAACCGTCTCTGCAGCGTTTGCCAAAAGGCACCTAAAAGACCCTGACCATGAGAAACAAGATTTTCTGGTCTGATGAAACCAAGATTGAACTATTTGGCCTGAATGCCAAGCGTCACGTCTGGAGGAAACCTGGCACCATCCCTACGGTGAAGCATGGTGGTGGCAGCATCATGCTGTGGGGATGTTTTTCAGAGGCAGGGACTTGGAGACTAGTCAGGATCGAGGAAAAGATGAACGGAGCAAAGTACAGAGAGATCCTTGATGAAAACCTGCTCCAGAGCGCTCAGGACCTCAGGCTGGGGCGAAGGTTCACCTTCCAAAAGGACAACGACCCTAGGCACAAAGCCAAGACAACGCTTCGGGACAAGTCTCTGAATGTTCTTGAGTGGCCCAGCCAAAGCCCAGACTTTAACCAGATCGAACATCTCTGAAGAGTCTTGAAAATAGCTGTGCAGCGACGCTCCCCATCCAACCTGACAGAGCTTGAGAGGATCTGCAGAGGAGAATGGGAGAAACTCCCCAAATACAGGTGTGCCACGCTTGTAGCGTCATACCCAAGAAGACCCAAGGCTGTAATCACTGCCAAAGGTGCTTCAACAAAGTACTGAGTAAAGGGTCTGAATACTTATGTAAATGTGATATTTGCTAACATTTCATAAAAACTGTTTTTGCTTTGTCATTACAGTGAGGGGAAAAAATAGTTGATCCCCTGCTGATTTTGTATGTTTGCCCACTGACAAAGACATGGTCAGTCTATAATTGTAATGGTAGGTTTATTTGAACAGTGAGAGACAGAATAACAACAACAAAATCCAGAAAAACGCATGTCAAAAATGTTATAAATTGATTTGCATTTTAATGAGGGAAATTAGTATTTGACCCCTCTGCAAGACATGACTTAGTACTTGGTGGCAAAACCCTTGTTGGCAATCACTGAGGTCAGACGTTTCTTGTAGTTGGGATTTTGTTCCACTCCTCTTTGCAGATCTTCTCCAAGTCATTAAGGTTTTGATGCTGACGTTTGGCAACTCGAACCTTCAGCTCCCTCCACAGATTTTCTATGGGATTAAGGTGGAGGCTGGCTAGGCCACTCCAGGACCTTAATGTGCTTCTTCTTGAGCCACTCCTTTGTTGCCTTGGCTGTGTGTTTTGGGTCATTGTCATGCTGGAATACCCATCCATGACCCATTTTCAATGCCCTGGCTGAGGGAAGGAGGTTCTCACCCAAGATTTGACGGTACATGGCCCCTTCCATCGTCCCTTTGATGCGGTGAAGTTGTCCTGTCTCCTTAGCAGAAAAACACCCCCAAAGCATAATGTTTCCACCTCCATGTTTGACGGTGGGGATGGTATTCTTGCGGTCATAGGCAGCATTCCTCCTCCTCCAAACACAGCGAGTTGAGTTGATGCCAAAGAGCTCGATTTTGGTCTCATCTGACCACAACACTTTCACCCAGTTCTCCTCTGAATCATTCAGATGTTCATTGGCAAACTTCAGACGGGCCTGTATATGTGCTTTCTTGAGCAGGGGGACCTTGCGGGCGCTGCAGGATTTCAGTCCTTCACGGCGTAGTGTGTTACCAATTGTTTTCTTGGTGACTATGGTCCCAGCTGCCTTGAGATCATTGACAAGATCCTCCCGTGTAGTTCTGGGCTGATTCCTCACCGTTCTCATGATCATTGCAACTCCACGAGGTGAGATCTTGCATGAAGCCCCAGGCCGAGGGAGATTGACAGGTCTTCTGTGTTTCTTCCATTTGCGAATAATCGCACCAACTGTTGTCACCTTCTCACCAAGCTACTTGGCCATTGTCTTGTAGCCCATTCCAGCCTTGTGTAGGTCTACAATCTTGTCCCTGACATCCTTGGAGAGCTCTTTGGTCTTGGCCATGGTGGAGAGTTTGGAATCTGATTGATTGATTGCTTCTGTGGACAGGTGTATTTTATACAGGTAACAAGCTGAGATTAGGAGCACTCCCTTTAAGAGTGTGCTCCTAATCTCAGCTCGTTACCTGTATAAAAGACACCTGTGAGCCAGAAATCATTCTGATTGAGAGGGGGTCAAATACTTATTTTGAATCCATTTTTGAATAAGGCTGTAACGTAACAGTCCCGTGTAGCTCAGTTGGTAGAGCATGGCGCTTGCAACGCCAGGGTTGTGGGTTCGATTCCCACGGGGGACCAGTATGAAAATGTATGCACTCACTAACTGTAAGTCGCTCTGGATAAGAGCATCTGCTAAATGACTAAAATGTAAATGTAATAAAATGTGGAAAAAGTCAAGGGGTCTGAATACTTTCTGAATCCACTGTACATTTCACATGCTAATAGTTGCATTTGAAAAAATGTCAAGTACTCATTAGTAATCGAATACAAACCTTGAATCGAGTACTCGCGCCCAACTCTAGTCTAGAGTTGAAGAAACCTTGTATCCAGAATATAGGAGTTAAACAACTTTTCCTTTTTGTGTCTTGCAGGAACAACATCGAAAATGATGAAGCTTAGAGAGGAGCCCAGCGACTATGCAGACCAGCCCAGAGGGAAGAGTCTGATCAACAACAGCACACTGGTCCCGGTCAAAGGCATCAGCAACCTAGGAAACACCTGCTTCTTTAATGCAGTTATGCAGGTACGGTCATTATGGGATTGGTTTGTGTACCGTAAACATTATGTCACTGGTGAGGCTGCTTATGAAATGCAACCATAGGGATAAGGTAATGTCGAAGAGAGTCTTTACCACTGGTGTAATAAAGGTGTGCTCATGGGGTATCGTCTCCAAAACACATTTTTGTTAATGTCATAGCATTGTGTGTCTTTATTAATGCCAGCATTACAGAAGCCCTGATGAAGGCAGCGTAGCATCGGAGCTACAGTGTGCTGCTTTTCTTTTCAAAGTGTTTTGCTCCACCAGCCAGCAACTAGCTAACCCTGTGGTGTGTTTTCCCGTCTCCTGGCTATATGAAAGCCACAATGGTCAATCTTGATCAGGTGTGCTTCTTAAAGCAGCCCGTTTGTAGAGGGCAACAGAAGTTTCCTTTTCTAAAATGGTAGAGTAGGCTTTAAACCCTATTGCAAGATTTCCATGTGACATCTGTCTAGGGCAGTGGTACCCAAACTGTGGGGGGCGCGAGGGGTCGGCAGGTCCGACTTTCAACTTACTCTTGAAAGTTGAAATAGTAGAATGCACAAGGTGCACTTTCGAAATTGAGTAGTGCATTATCAGTTTTCCTCATGTCAGTCATTGCATACCTTAGAAAACTATTTATAACTTGTCAGAAATGTCCAGATCAACTAGCCCATGTCAGCTAACATGTTTTAGCTAGGTTTGTTAGCCCATAGATGATGTTGTAATGTTTGAGTCACTCAAATATCACATGAATAAACATTAGACATGGCAAAATGTATAGAATTGCAAGAAAATGAGCTTTAAAACGTGCAACATTTTCTCTCCCCCAACAAGAGGGGTGTCAATAGTTTGTGTCATGAACAGTGCTTGTGCCCATAGAAATAGACGTTGCGCGCACGCAGGGGGGCGTGGGATGTACCCCAATTCTGGAAGGGGGGCCTGAGTGAAAAGGTTTGGGAACCCCTGGTCTAGGGAATAGTGTACTGTAAACATGGTGGCTGGTCAAAGTGGTATGTCAAGTGCTGCTCCTCCCTACAGTAAAATACCATAACATACCAGCCATCAGCAACACATGAAAGGCTTGTATCAACAGGTTCTGCCATAATGCCATCGTCCATTATAACATATTTTTTTTATGTCTTTACAATACAGTTGTATAGGCAAGGACAAGTTATGCATATATAGTACAAGGGTATTTTAAATGCATATGTGTGACTCATCTATCCACACGAGAATAGGACTGGTATGGAGCACATTCTCTAAGGTGCATTGTGTGTTGGCTGTCTGCTCTTGGGGATTTGAAACGTACAATCCCTTCCCGTTTTCCGCCATTTTGTTAATCACCTTCTGGAGCGCTCTCATGATTGAAACCAGACCGAACATTCTTTCTTTACATGTTTTTTTTTCTCTCTTTCTATTCTCATTGTCTCCTTCAAAATTGCAATTTTGCTGGTGAAACAACATAATTGTCTGAGAAAAAGCTCACACTACTGAAGCCATTGTGTATTTTCCATAGCAACTGTCTTCATTGCCAGGATGTGACAAAACAACTGTCGTTTGAAAGGGAAGAAAGAGATGCTGCAGTAATATGATGGGACAATGGTGGCTCTGGGTTATCCTTTCTGTGTTTCAGTCACAGCTCATCGTTTCTTTGGAAAGGGCTTTTTTAGCATAATGATATTTAGGCTAACACCTGCCAGTTTCTCAGAATGAATAGAGATTTTTCAATTGTAGACCAGTTTTACCAATCATTTTTTTTTGCATTTGTAATATTTTTCTGTTTTTATTATTTTTTGTGAAGAGATGATGAAATAAAAAGGAAGAAGTGCAGGAAGATGTTCATTCATGATTCTTCTAACTGATAAGAAAATATTCTGTCCTGTCCATGCAGATGAAAACGATGATGACTAGATTCATGTGAATGCGTTAATAATGGCTGATTTCTGTCCATCAGAATCTGTCCCAGACTCACATGCTGAACGACCTGATACAGGATGTGAAGGAGAAGGGACACAAGCTGAAGATCTGCCCCCCTGCTGAGTCAAACGTGGTACGTTCCACCATCAAAAACCTCTCCCTCATCCACTTGGTATAGTCCAGTCCCCTTTAATCCTGTCCAGTCCACCACTATAGTCTTATACTGTACATGGCACAGGAAGCCACTTAGTACTGTCTATATGGGTGGTTCTTTTTATTATTAGCATAACAGGCTATCGTAAATAACCCTTGAGTCATGTTGTAGCCCTCCCCCAATGTCTCCAGTCATCTGTAAAATGCAGTCAAGCCCATTCAGCTTCTCCATGGTAGTGCAACACTCTGTATGAAATACATGCCTTGTCTAACACTCATATGTTTGCTCGCTCTCTCGCTCTCCTTTCCTGTGGTTGTCCTTCAGGGGGCGTTGACGGTGACCCTGCCCAGCCCGGAGCCCCTGACCTCGGCCATGTTCCTCTTCCTACACAGCATGAAGGAGTCTGGGAAGGGCCCTGTCAACCCCAAGATCCTTTTTAACCAGCTCTGCCAGAAGTAAGAATCTACATTGTTCTGCATTTGTCTTTATTTTATGTATTGGCCATCTCACAGCATTGGTGTTGATTGGGCCGGAACCCGGTATAGGCTATTGTATAGCCATGGGTGTGGACTTGACCTACTTCCTGAGCTGGTCCATACTAAAAGATAGTAATGAAAATAACATATGTGGGCTGCCCTGTAGGGTGCCAGAGGAGGCACTACAGACCTGTAAAAGGTTGGCTAAGCTTTCATAACTATATTCTCTTTCATCGTGTACTAATAACAAACTTGATCACCAAGAGATATCAATCGTTTTTGTTACCATCAATTCTTCCTTACTTGAGTGATGAAATCACCACTGCGCAACATTGCGCTGTGGTTACGGCGTCAGCGGTGCATCAATGTTAGCCACACAGCCTCATGTGCAGACAAGCTGCCCCACTCCCAAGGTTAGAGGTCACCGTGCCCCAACTGGTCTGGCGCTTCTCCATCGCCGTAGCAACAGTCAACCACGCAGTACAGGCAGGGTCCACAGCTTTTACCTGCCCTATTGTCAAGCTGCCATGGCGAACACTTCAGAGAAGAGGTTTTCTCAACCTGCTGGACTCTACCAGCACCTGGTCCATCCAGTTTTCAGTCCACCCTGCTCCCCAACGCTGGTCAACACTAAACCCATTAACACCAGTACCCACTCCACACAGTAGACCTCACTGCACAAAATGGCTCTGATGCACTCTGCTTCCAGCTGCAATCAAAACAGCATGGCATGTCCCTGTTCTCTTTAACACCACCTGTGTTCGTGTTTGAACCTGAGCGTGGTAAACCAGCTGCTTGGCTGGCCCGGCCAGCCCTCCCAGTTTCATGGTGAACGCTTATGAACACGGGGCTCTTTGAACATGCTGAGCGGTTGGTTAGGTCTCTCTTTGAACGTGTGGTGAATGGTTGGTTGGCTCTTGTTGTTGGAACATGGTGAACGGCTGGTTTGGCCCAGGCTGGCTGTAGTGTGTGGGGCCTGTTGGGTTAGGTAGGACCGGGCTCTGTACAGTTGGCTGTGTCTGGGTGGGATGAGGAACGTTCGGATGGCTGGAGCGCGGAGCCTGTCAGCCGGCTGGGTGCCTCTGCTGTGTCCAGGTACCAGCCTTCCATGTGTGTGTGTGTGTGAGAGCAATGCCACCCCTCACCTGGTACCACCTCACCCCGTAGTGCACATGCACTCAGCCGGGCGTACACATAGACACAGCACGCATGCACACACACACGTACACCAACACACATTCACCCGGTAGACCTCATTTCATGCCCTTCCTCACGCTCACATGCACACGCATTCCTTAAATCAAACCCTTCTTCCATGCACACATTCACTCGACACATACAAATGCACATGCTACGCACCTCATCCTATGTTTCTACCCACACATATGATTTGCCATCGCACTCCCATCCTTCACAAACAATCTCTACATCTCTCTCCTCATTCTGTCTGTAACTGCAAGGTCAAGAGTCACTCCTCTATACAGGGACATTCTCCTGATGCTGTTTATGATATTTCTCCTGCAGCGTGTTGACCTTCGGAATGGCTAAAGCCATACACACTAGGCTGTGTGCATGTCCAATCCTCGTCTTTATTTCCTGAGCTCTCCTAGCTCAGTGGTGTGTTGCCGGCCCTGACCTGGGAACGTGCACCCTAGTGCTTAACAACACACAGGCTGGTTAAAGGGGCTACTTGGGTAGGACTCCACGGTGTGTGTGTGTGTTTCTTTCTTTGGTATTAGAGGCAGATTGAGCCTAGTGTGTTGTGTTCACCCTTGACCAGCTGAGTCAGTCCCTGCCTGGCCTGCCCGTCTGGCTGCCCCTCTATACCCAACGCCAGGCCCCCTGTGCCAGCTGGACGGGTCAGGCTCGGACCAGCGCCAGGCCCAGTGGTTTGGAGGGTCAACACCACACACTGTTTCTGGTGCCAGTGAGAGACTCAGCTTGTACCCAGACCCGCCACTAGGCCTATGCTGCTGTGGTGGGGGATGTGTGTATGGTGCACGAGAGGAAAAAGCTCTACCAAAAAAAACGTTTATTCTCAAATCATACAAATTGTCATACGACTTTGGGCATTCATTAAAGCTTCATCTAGAGAATATTATGTATGCTTACACAGGAACACTCTTTTACCCCCCCATTTTCCTTACACTAGCATTCAGTTATAAAATAACACACACAAAATACGAAAACACACTTGCACAAATGCACTCTGCAAACACACACACACACATACACAATGACTGACCTCCTTTCATGACTTCTAGGCTATTTCTACCAACCTGTGTGTACATCCAACGCAGTAGGAAAATAGCAGGGTACAACAATGAGCCAAATCTCTAGCAGGCAGCCACACAAAGGCACATGGCCACACAGGTCTGTACATGCATGGAAGATCTCCTGCCGCTGAAGAATTGAAGAACAGTCATTCTCGCAAGGAAGGTCACATTCAGCTGGTCTCACAATGCCTGATAAATAATGTCCACATAGCTGCAGCTGCCTATACAAGGCATTCATTCGATTTCTGATGTTACATATCACGCTTTTGTCTGTCCTTGTGAGGAATAATCTATATGTGAATGAATGAAAAGAGTCAATACACTCAATGTAGAGCGGTGGACAAAAAGCTGTATTCAACAATGTGAGAATGGCAGAAGAGCGAGACCTTGATAAGAAATGGGCCTACACTTATTTAAAGGAATGACTTTCATAAATGATTGCTTGTGGCACTGTGAATGTGATTACATACGAGGCCGGGTGTTCTGTAAGTCAAATAAGTGTTGATTCTTATGTTATAAGAGTGTTTTTACATGCTTATGCTGGATAGATAAGTGGCTTTTATCATGTAATTATGTCTGTCAATGTGAAAGTGACTCAATGTATATGATTTCTATTTTGTATTGAAAGTGTTTGTGAGTGTGTGTGTGCGCCCCTCTGCCTGTCGAGGTGGTGCAGCATGCCGGGGTTGCCTTGCGTCTGGTACTAACTCATCCGCTGTTAATTGTGTGAGCACCGCAGCTGTCTGCATTGGTCAGGGCCAGATTGGGAGCAGCGCCACAGGGCCCTTCTGCCTCTCTTCCACTGGGATGAGCTTCCAGACAGCCCCGTTCCCACTGATCCCATTGGAGCTGCTCGTCTGCCTCTCACCCGTCGCTGCTCCGTGCTCCACTCCCGGAAAAAATACCCCAAGACTGCTGCGTGCCTCTCTGTCTGTCTTTTAATCTCAATTATCACTATGTGCCAACCAGATACTGTACCAGTCCAACCCGCTTTGTGTTCGAGCTGTTAGATAAGCAGAGTTGGGGATGAGTGTGTTTGGCATGCATGCTTGATAAAAAGCCGAATTCCTACTATAATCCCCATTGTAATTCCCACTTCAGTTCAATTTCTTTTTTACACTTCCTTTACACAGGATACAAAAGAGGTGGCAAGCTAACAGCTCAAGTATTAAGACAAGTTGGTCATATGATAAGAAAACATTCTTTAAAACCCAACACTCATTTTGTACACATTTGAAGGAAGATATTCCATTATATGTTTTGGCATCTTTAAAGGGGATGAAATGAGGGACATATGTGATCCCCCCTCCGCCCCCCTTGCGTGTGGCAGAGAGAGGGCAAAGGGACAGAGGTAGAGAAGGGGGGCTGAGTTGGTCCTCTAGACCTCCTGCTCATGACCTGTGTTGGGGGCAGGTGGCCATTCGTCTCTCCCCCAGCTCCAGTCACTCATTCTGGGGCTAGACGTCAACATCCATCACCACATGGCAGAGATTATCCAGACTGTAGGCCCATCCACTCTGCTACCAGTTAGAGGATGAATACCTCTGTTCTGATTGGGTCTGGGAGCTCGCCAAGAGGAATTGTTCACCAGTTCAAAGGGTAAATCGTTTGGTTTCGTTTGCATTGCAGGCCAATCTGGACGGGTCATTGGTCTGTATGTAGAGAGGATATGACATCGGATCAGGATGCTATACCTGGGACAATGAAGCCCCTAAAATGCCTTTTAGGAGGACACATTTCTCTGTGGAGAGCTGCTCAGGGGTGTTATAAAGTACATGTAGTACCAGTATTCCAGTTATCCAGTTATCAAGACTGGTGAACACTAGATGGTCAGATGCTAGACTGGTATCAAAGAGGCAACGAATGTACTTGCCCTCCTCTCTGACCCTGTGCACTCAGATAGCATTGGCTTAGCAGTGGTCTGTGGTCCTCTCAGGTCAGCTGCATGTTGTCCTGCCAGCCTGTCAGGCCAACCTGTTCTATGGCTGTGTGGCTGGCGCTGCCCAACAGGTTGTGGTGGTGGCTCTGGCCCTGGCTGCCCATCTGGCCCTAACATCTGTCCCTACATCTGTCCTGCTGTGGCCAGGGACAGGCTCAAGGAGAGCCCCCTCTACGAGCGCTGGTGCGTGAACACGCAGGATGTCCACTGGCACCATCGCCATACATTTTCACCCTTAGCTACATGTACTGCTGGCGAATGATAATGATGGGAGATATGTGTACTCTAGACAGTAAAGTGCTTTCTATTAAAGACATTCTGAATTGGCTTACACAGTAGTCTGTTGGTAAGCCCAGAAATACCATAGAGCTCCATCGCTAACACCCATTTTCACCTGCAATGTCAAATTTCATTTGCAAATACTTGCACAAGTCTAACAATTAGCCACATAAATAAAGAAATTCTCACGTAAACATCAAATAATGAATGTACAGTTGAAGTCGGAAGTTTACATACCTTTAGCCAAATAAATTTAAACTCAGTTTTTCACAATTCCTGACATTTAATCCTAGTAAAAATTATCTGTCTTAGGTCAGTTAGGATCACCACTTTATTTTAAGAATGTGAAATGTCAGAATAATAGTAGAAAGAATGATTTATTTCAGCTTTTATTTCTTTCATCACATTCCCAGTGGGTCAGAAGTTTACATACACTCAATTAGTATTTGGTAGTATTGTCTTTAAATTGTTTAACTTGGGTCAAACGTTTCGGGTAGCTTTCCACAAGCTTCCCACAATAAGTTGGGTGAATTTTGGCCCATTCCTCCTGACAGAGCTGGTGTAACTGAGTCAGGTTTGTAGGCCTCCTTGCTTGCAAACGCTTTTTCAGTTCTACCCACACATTTTCTATAGGATTGAGGTCAGGGCTTTGTGATGGCCACTCCAATACCTTGACTTTGTTGTCCTTAAGCCATTTTGCCACAACTTTGGAAGTATGCTTGGAGTCATTGTCCATTTGGAAGACCCATTTGCGACCAAGCTTTAACTTTCTGACTGATGTCTTGAGATGTTGCTTCAATATATCCACATAATTTTCCTTCCTCATGATGCCATCTATTTTGTGAAGTGCACCAGTCCCTCCTGCAGCAAAGCACCCCCACAGCATGATGCTGCCACCCCCGTGCTTCACGGTTGGGATGGTGTTCTTCGGCTTGCAAGCAACCCCCTTTTTCCTCCAAACATAACTATGGTCATTATAGCCAAACAGTTCTATTTTTGTTTCATCAGACCAGAGGACATTTCTCCAAAAAGTACGATCTTTGTCCCCATGTGCAGTTGCAAACCGTAGACTGGATTTTTTATGGCGGTTTTAGAGCAGTGGCTTCTTGCTTGCTGAGCGGCCTTTCCGGTTATGTCGATATAGGACTCGTTTTACTGTGGATATAGATACTTTTGTACCTGTTTCCTCCAGCATCTTCAGAAGGTCCTTTGCTGTTGTTCTGGGATTGATTTGCACTTTTCGCACCAAAGTACGTTCATCTCTAGGAGACAGAACGTGTCTCCTTCCTGAGCACTATGATGGCTGCGTGGTCCCATGGTGTTTATACTTGCGTACTATTGTTGGTACAGATGAACGTGGTACCTTCAGGCGTTTGGAAGTTGCTCCCAAGGATGAACCAGACTTGTGGAGGTCTACAAAAAAGATTCTGAGGTCTTGGCTGATTTCTTTTGATTTTCCCATGATGTCAAGCAAAGAGGCACTGAGTTTGAAGGTAGGCCTTGAAATACATCCACAGGTACACCTCCAATTGACTCAAATGATGTCAATTAGCCTATCAGAAGCTTCTAAAGCCATGACATCATTTTCTGTAATTTTCCAAGCTGTTTAAAGGCACAGTCAACTTAGTGTATGTAAACTTCTGACCCACTGGAATTGTGATACAGTGAATTATAAGTGAAATAATCTGTCTGTAAACAATTGTTGGAAAGATTACTTGTGTCATGCACAAAGTAGATGTCCTAACCGACTTGCCAAAACTATAGTTTGTTAACAAGAAATTTGTGGAGGGGTTGAAAAACGAGTTTTAATGACTCCAACCTAAGTGTATGTAAACTTACGACTTCAACTGTATGTCATTGTTATAGGAGACACCTTTAACAAAGTCAGTCATCTTCTTTACTTGGAATCTTGCTTAACACATGAAGGCAGAAGGAGGTCATTGTCTGGGTATGCATCTATATTTGTGTGTGTGACCCTAACTGGTTTAATGAAAGCTGTGGGAATGAAACAATGGCTGCCTTTAAGCACCAGAAAGCTGCAGAGAGGAGAGGAAGTTGAACGGATGAAGCAAAATGTCTTGAGAAAAATAATGGCCATTCTCCACTCTCATTGACGTCTCTGTATGCACTATTGATACAGCTGATTGCTTTATGCATGTGGTTGATTGCTTTGTGCATGCTTGTCTGAGTGTGTGGGCGGGTGTGTGTTTGTGTACCAATGATTTGTGTTTGCCTGTCATAGATTTACTCATTTTGTAAAATATTATCCATTATCAATAACATACATGTGACAGGTCTAGCTTAGCGGTAGAGTTGCCAGCTTCAGACCACATGTACTGACCCTGGAGACGGTTCGATCCCCTGTCCACCTCTAACTTGCATCCCTCTCAACTGTCTCCCTCTCTCAAGATCTGTCAAAAACATTAAAATACGTCAGGAATGCGGAATTACGTTGTCCTTTGGGGAAATGTTTTTTACACAAGTGTGCGTATGTGTACACATTTGACAAGGGTTCTGTGTGATTGTATGTGTTCTGACTAAGCTGTGTTCTCTCTGTCTCACCAGGGCTCCACGCTTTAAGGGCTACCAGCAGCAGGACAGCCAGGAGCTGCTCCATTACCTACTGGACTCCATGAGAGTAGAGGAGACGAAGGTGAGACTATAGACCCACATTACAAACGCCACATCCTTCTTCCACTCAGCCTAGTACCATGGCTCCCTCTCTGTGCCAGTGGCCGTGTTTGAGATCCACACTGACTGAGCAGACCGACCGATCTACAAATCGAAATGAGTAATTATTTAGGATGCCTTTTTTATTGATTTATTTATTTATATATATATTAATTTTTTTGGTGATCAGTTAGGCGACTGAGCAGAATGTATGCTCTCAAACGCACCCTGTGTCTTGTGTAGTATGAGCATGATGACATAAAGCTGTTACTCTCTATGTCAACAGTGTATATGATACCAGACAGACTCCCAGCAGCCAAGCTACATGTAGGGTGGTGTCCAAGCTAGTAAGAGTACGCAAAAGAACAGGCATTGTTGTGAGTACAATTGAGACGCACACTTCAATCGCCAATGGAGAGCAGGCTAAAAGCCATGGGAGACATTCACCTGTGTGCTTGTGGATGACAGTGTGCAGGGTTTGGTCTTTGCCTTTGCGCCTCGGCCAGCCATTGTCTTTTAACCTTATGGTGCCATGTTTTCTGGCAAGTGCAGACTGTCGTCGTCCCCCCGTTCAGGAATTAGGGGGGAGCCCACCACCACCACTATGGGCCCGGCCCAGGGCTGAGTCAGTTGGCCCCTCGGCCCCACCAGTGGCTCAGCCAGCCTCAAAAAGAGAGGAGAGTAGCGGGTGTGGAGTGGTCAGCCCGGGGCCTGGGACAGGGGGACAAGGGTACAGGCTGGGACTCCCCCCCTGGTTCTTTTTAAACTTGTGAACACTGACAGTTGTGCCACTTAGGGGACTTGCAAGTGGCACGGCGGGCGTCATTGTGTGATCTGGGAAACACGCAGCTGTGGGTCGCCCCATTGTGCTGGAGGGTCACCCCCTCCCCCGCTCCAATCAGGGAGTCCGAGAGGGAGGGGTGAAGGGGGAGCTGGCCCTATTCATACGTTCATTATACATACACTCAAACGTAAACACACGCCACACACACACACGCTTATATGCATTTTACATTTACTGTCTGATGAATTTACAATAAAGTCACATAAATTGACCTGAAAAAAGGTGTAATGGGTTTGCACTCAAAAAGATGTCGCATAAAGCTTACTTCATTATTAAATTCTGTACATTATTTTCACTGCATCAGGGATAGCGTATACAGACGTTTCGGCTTTACAGCCGCCTTCAGTGTGTAGGTACAAAGAACAGCCGATGAGCAGCAGGTGCTTCTAATCAGGGTTGCCACTCATCTGCCATAAATTGATCTGCACAGCATACACAACCTAACAAATATTGTGTACACATAGTAAAAAAATTATGACACTTACACATTTTATTTACTCAAAACAGAATTGTAGATACACTCATCGTGTTTAGTTTGCACCAACTCAAATGTCCTCAACTGCACGGAATCAGCCCAAACAAATGTGCAATAAAACACACACACACACTTTGAGTGAATGGCCATTTCTCCCATAGCCTGTCACCACCAACCTACGAGGCCCAAGTGGTTGTGTTGATTGGCCATTTAGTATCAGAAGTCTAAATATGCTAATCGCACACAGTCAATTATCACCAATTAGCTGAGACGTTAGGTAATGCTCCCTCTCAGGGCATGGCCTGTCCTTCTTGGCCCATCTTCATTTTGTTTCCATCCCTCCACCCTTTCTTTCCTCACCCCCCTTCCCTTACCCTGAGCCCCTCTCAGTCTTGCGTGGGACAGTACACGCTGTTACTTTGGGTAGGGGGGTCCTGCTGGTGATTAATTAGTGTGGGGCTCAGCAGGGTCTGACTGACTAGGGAGAGGGGTACAGGAGGGGTGCAGGGGGGCTACAGAGCTGGGATTAACCAGGCTTTTGACCTAAATAGCCAGTCCAGTGCGTGGGTCCGGGGACAATGGGGGCGACTAGTCGGGTCCACAGACACAGACCACGGCCAATTATCTATTGATTGGTGTTTTACTGTGGCGGTGCCTCTTCACAGCTCTACTCGCCGACACACTCACTGACCATGTCACCTTCAATCACTGCCCACGGCCCCGCCACCGAGACTGTCAGAGACGGCTGGGTGACACACTCCACACATACGCAGTGTACACACACACACACACACACACACACAAACACACACGGCCGCTGTACACACACGCAGTACCTGCACACCAGCGCACAGTACACACACACACACACACACACACACACAGAGAGCGAGATGCAAGTGTACATTCAGATCTGGAAGAAGTGTGTGTTTGTTTACTAATGTGTATTTACATACACACTATCATTTTTGTAGTGGTTTCAATTCCTTGGCTTCCCATGGTAGCTGTTATATGAATCAGCCTTTGTTGTATAAAACCTACATTTTGTAGTCGCACATTTTTCTATCTACTAAGTGACATTTATATGAGATCAATTTAGTGTTTGACATTCCCAGCGGATCAAAGCGGGCATTCTGAAATCCTTCAACAACCCCACAGAGAAGACTGCAGATGATGAGACCAAACGCCAAGTCAAAGGTTAATGTTCTATTCTGACACAGTAGAATTGACCTAGATCAATAGCCCCATCTTGTGGCAGCTTTATTTACTGTTCAATGGCTTACTATGGAAAAATACCTCAACCACAGGAAACACAGAGCATGTTTCATGAATGAACATAGGCATTGGTTAAAGTACATTTATTCTGAATGATTGTAGCTGAACTTTGTTGTTTTTATTTCCTTTTATCCCAGCATACGGGAAGGAGGGTGTGAAGATGAACTTTGTGGATCGCATCTTTGTGGGGGAGTTGACCAACACCATCATGTGTGAGGAGTGTGAGCATGTAAGTGATTCATTGCCTGTCCATTCTGTTTAAGGTTACTGGAATCTAGGTGCATTTAGGTATGTGTGTGGTCAACCATTGAAGAGTTTGGCTGTATTCCTTAATACTTAATGATGATTAATCATACAGCTACAGTTATAATAATATATGCCATTTAGCAGATGCTTTTATCCAAAGCGACTTAGTCATTCTAAATTCATTTTACGTACAGTGACCCTGGGAATCGAACCCACAATCCTGGTGTTGCAATCGCCATGCTCTACCAAATGAGCCACATGTTTTGTATGTGTCATACACAGTTAAACCATTTAAAAATACTTCTCAATGAGAAGTGTTCATCTTTCTGTAAGGCTATAGTTGTTCCCAGCTGAAAGCCATGCCGTACTTTGATTGTTAGTGATATGGATGCCTGTCCTCTGTCTCCCTCAGATCTCCACAGTGAAGGAAGCCTTCATTGACATCTCCCTGCCCATCATTGAGGAGCGGGTGAGCATATCTTTGCATTAGTTTTGCAATAGTTCCCAGTCCAGAATACTGCTTCTGACATGTTGGTCATATGTGATAAGTGTACAGTATGTTGGTTTCATCTCTGTCTTTGTGTCATGTCCTGGTGCTGTTCAGATGTCCAAGCCGTCCAACACGGGCAGGACTGGGAAGAGCAGTCGGGAGCAAGAAGCTCACGTCTCCCACGGTGACGAGATGCTTTCGGCAGCGCTCAATAAGAACAGCAGAAAACTTAGCGGACAGGTGTGTGTGTTCTTTGTGTCTGTGTGTTAGTGTAGTTTGAGTCAGTGGGTGGGTGTGTTTTGCTGACTGTGTGTGTCTACCTCCCTCAGAAGCAGCAGCAGGGCCGGAAGTCCCCTGGCTCTGTGGAAGAGAAGGGGGCAGACAGCCCCTCGGACCACCCCGAGGAGGAGTCCCCCTCCGTAATGGCCCGTGCCGCTGGAGGTTCCAAAATGGCCGCCACCAGCAGCCTATCGGACGGCAGCGAGAAAGACTCTGGCCCTCAGGACAGCAGCAACGATGCCGACAGCGAAGCCTCAGAGAGCGAGTGGACCCCCCGGCACTCCTCGGGCCACAGCCATGGTGGCAGAGGGACCACCCCTACCCAGTCTCCCACATCCGCTAACCCGTCCGCCCTCTCCCCCAGGACCCAGCAGGTTGGTGCTGTGGAGCAGCTGGTCAGTGCAGTGCATAAGATGAACCTGGGCCCTGGTTCAGGGGACTCACCCTCCACACACTGTCCTGAGGACCAGGGGGAGCCCCAGCCTCAACATCCTCAACAGTCTCCTCACCCCCACCACCAGGGGGCATTCCAGGCCCTGTCCCACAGCTACACGCCCTGCTCCAAGGAATGCTCCGTTCAGTCCTGCCTTCACCAGTTCACCTCGGTGGAGCTGCTGATGGGCAACAACAAGCTGTTGTGCGAGAGCTGCACGGACCGCCGGCAGAAACAACTGCGGAAGAGCACCTCAGCAGGTTATTTAGAACACATACAGCGTTTGAGAGAGAACTTGTGCTGGTTTGAAAGAGAACCACTGTTGTTAAAGACAATTTGTTGAGATCCTGACCTGATAGTGACAGCAGTACGTGATATGGAAATGCATAGCTACTCGGCACCTATCCATGTCACGCATTTACACAGATATTCAAATGCAGACATTTAGGCTACGCTTACTTGTATCAGGCAGAGCAATCATGTATTTGAAAAATTACCATTCACAAAGTGACATTGTGGTGTCTGTATGTGCTTAAAGACAGTGGTCTAAAGTACTTAAGTTATTTTTTAGGGTATCTGAACATTACTTTACTATTTAGATTTTTGACTACTTTTACTCCACTACATTCCTATGGAAAATAATGTGCTTTTTACTCCATACATTTTCCCTGACACCCAAAAGTACTCATTACATTGCGAATGCTTAGCAGGACTGGAAAATGGTTAATATAAGGAATGTGGAATGATTTATACTTTTACACTTAAGTATATTTTAGCAATTACATTTACTTTGGATACTTAAAAATATTTAAAACCATATACTTTTAGACTTTTACTCAAGTAGTATTTTACTGTGTGACTTTCACTTTTACTTGAGTAATTTTTTATTAAGGTATTATTACTTTTACTCAAGTATGACAATTGGGTACTTTTTGCACCACTGCTTACAGAGAAGAAGTCTGACAGGGTGTACACCAGCGCTCGCAAACAGATGCTGATCTCTTCGCTGCCCCCGGTGGTCACTCTGCACCTCAAACGCTTCCATCAGGTTAGCATATTATTTCATGCGTTATTGTACACATCTTTACGTTATATATATGATATATCATGTTCATGTGAATTACGTTGTGTTCTCCTGTTTATCTAAATTGTGGTCATGGTGTAGGCTATTACTGTGTCTTATTGTGTATCGATATATTTGAGGTTAATTGTGATTTTGATTGTGTGTGTGTGAAGGCAGGGATGAACCTACGAAAAGTCAACCGTCACGTCAACTTCCCTCTCATCCTGGACCTGGCTCCGTTCTGCTCGGCATCCTGCAAGGTACTTACTCTTCTTCACGCGAAAACAGGGACAATATCTTTACTAAAAACCTTACACTGAAATTAATATGGGTCCATGGACACTGTAGCTCATGTATTTGTGCTTGTTATGAATGGTTGAAAAGATACAAATAGCTTAGATGCTCCTGTTTCTGTCTGAGCTCTTGGCACTGCTCAATGCCTCATCCTGAGTTAATTTGTGTGTGTTTCTATTTGGGCAGAACCTGGTGGCGGGGGAGCGTGTGCTCTACAACCTGTATGGCATCGTCGAACACAGTGGGTCGATGCGCGGGGGCCACTACACAGCGTACGTAAAGGTCCGCTCGCCCCAGAGGAGAACCGAGCAGCCACAGCGCAGAAACCTGGCAGGTAAGAACTGTCTCTTTCTGTCTGTCCATAAAATACTCTATTCCTTTAGCGATTTTGTCTTAAGAGTCTATGTCAATACGTTTACATAAAAAAATATATATATATCGACCAAAGCATGGAATTGTATGATTGTAAAAAGTATGTGTGTGAAGGCCTATATTTGTGTGAAGGCCTCACTCCGTGTAACCTTGAAGGCGGTATTTATGAGAGAAAAAGCGCTGTAGTGAATATAGATGTCCGGCGTTATATAGATGTATTTTCTCCTTTCCCCACTCAAGGAGAGCGCCTGCCATTCAGCGACGCTCAACTGTAATGAAAAGGTCTTTATGACAGAGGTCTGTGTGAGCAGTTGTCCTCGCTGGTAATTAACTAGTATAGAACTTGAGGTGACATTGTCTTGGCAGCATTGGTGAGCCACCATAGAGAGGTCAGAGGGGCCTCGGTAACCACTGATAGAGTTTGTCTCCATCAAATGGCAACGCCGCTGTCGCCTACCCTCCTTTCCTCATGTCAACACATCCCTTCTTACAACGCTCATCTTTGTTTCCTCTCATTTTCTTCTCATTGCTTTTCCTTTTCTCTTTCGCTTCAATACATGTTTTCCTCACCCTGCTGTAACCTTCCATCAGGTAAATGCTGAAATACACTACACGATCTTTGCCCGGTCTACGGGCTCTAACCATCGGAGAACCTCTCACATTTAACGATTCAGTCAAGCCAAATCGTAGTGTACACCTGGCGGTCTCCACAGCAGTACGATTGGAAAACTCACACTTGCCGATAATTGCCTGATTTACGTCCAAATATATTAAACATATTTGAAAATTATCGGGACACCGTAAGTGCCTGTGAGAGCCATCAACCGCAAATGGGGTATGCGCTTACACGTTACGGGCTGCAGCGTTACGTTTTACTACGGTTTGCTCCAATTCCCAACGATTTGGAAAAATGCGCCGGGAGCCCGTAGATCAGGCTAAAAACCTGTAGTGTCCGCCTGGTTTAAGTGTAAAATAGAGCCTGAAGTTTATCATTATGTAATATGCTCTGTCTAATTCAATTCATACCAGTGTTGCTATGAACATATCTTTGTTCATTCTGCTCCTCATTCTGTCACTGTTTCTGTGGTAAGCTAGCCACAGTCATTGGTTTCTCACAGTAATGGCTCCTAGAAACTCTCCATCTCTTCCCATTAACCAAAGACCCTTACTGTGTTTCAGGTCCAAGGGAAGCAAGCAGTGCCACACAGGGTCAGTGGGTGTATGTGAGTGACACCAATGTCCAGACGGTACCAGAATCCAGGGTCCTCAACTCTCAAGCCTACCTGCTGTTCTACGAGGAGCTGCTGTGACTGCCAGAGCACAGAGCTGCCCAACAATCATTGGTCTCTCAGGAGAGAGAGGAAGAGGAAAAAAGAGAGAGAGACCTGCTTTGGGCATACCTCTCTCTAAACTTTGACTCCCAAGAGCCTGAAACATGGCATGCACTGCATTATGGGATTTGTAGGCCATCAGGGACATGCTACCTTGATGTATGCTGGACTGCTCAGCATTGAAGGGTTACCATACTCTTCGTGTCTCGGTCCACTTACTGAAAGTCCCCATACAGTTGCTTATACGTCTGTGAAAGGGAGCGAGAAAGGGAGAGAGTGGCAGAATAGTATGTTTAATTAGCACAAATTATACAGAAGAAAAATGCTATGTTATTTATATTTTACAGCCTGCTGTGGTGAATACGAATTGTATTTTTTGTAGAACATGTGAATGTGTGACTACCATTAAATCGTGATTGCCAAAGAGTTTTTGGTAAGAGAAATAATATAAAATGATGGAAAACATACAAGAAAGACTTAAGTGCCAAAATAATGTGATCTCAAACTATTCCTGAAAGGAGAGGTCCATAATGTGGCTGGCCATCCGAGTGTGTTTCAGACCAATACATTACTGTGTTGGTCGGCACAGTTTTTTTTCCAATTCTATTTCTATTACATATGCACACTGGTGCACAAACAATCTCTAACCACACAGATATAAACACATTGTGATGTTTAACAAAAGGACATTGCTACATATATGATTGCCAGCTCGCCGGACAATAAACAATCGTTTTCTTTTCATTTCATTTGTCTTTTTATCCCATGTTTTCTGCTGTAGTTAAACTAAAGGCAGTGAATGTGTTGATCAATCTTGGGATTCAAATGTGTCTTACCATTTATGTTAATCGTTCTGCAAATATTTTTGGGGGGAATGAAATGGAGATATTTTATCTGTCGGTTGTTGGGAAATTGCCAAATTATTCTGGTGAGGTGAAGGATTACTATAAGTAAGGGTACGGTTTGATTAATTTATTTCAAAACAAATAAATACTCAGTGCCTACACTCTAGGATTATTATGCTTCTGCATGTTAAGAACAAATAATTACAGTGAACATATATTTGCATACAGACAGCTTGTGTGAAATGTGTATGCAAAACCATGAGAATTTGGTGTATTACCACAATACAAACTATGGTGCCTCAGGCTACAGGGTTTTTCTTCAGGCTTTCTTTTCCTTCTGAAAATGTCATTCGATTTCAATAAGGAACTCGGAACACCATTGGGTTATGTGAAGTCATATATATCGAAGAGAATAAATCTAATTTATGAAATGGGAAACCAACAAGGCTCAGCTGGCATGTTCTTATTTTGAGTGGATGTTTGAATCCTCTCTTTTTTCCCCCAAAGGAAAGTACTTGATAGTGGATGAGTATGGCTGTTGTTTTTGCACTGGAATTTGTGTCATCCCTCTTTACTGTGTGAAGACGGTGCTGGCCATTAGTCAGGGGCTGTCACAGTGAATCCCATGGTGCCATATTCACTCTGTCGGTGGTGGCGATGTGCCATGACGGGTGCAAAGCAGCGCTGTTTGAGAAACATGTCGCGAGCTGGTGAAGAGGAGGTGGGTGTGGAATCAGGAAAAGGGCAACGTCTAAAAGCATCCCATCGTCCGCCCTCCTGGTCCCACACACTGTGACATCCCAATCACGCTGTTAAAACATTAAAGCAGAGTGTCAAGCCACCCACCAACATCACAGCACTTTAAAAAAAAAAAAAACATGTATTTGGTCTATTTTTAAAAGCAGGGGCCCTCGCTTGGGGACATTCTCTTGAAGGATTAGATATGATTTTAATCTCAGTTAATGAAAGGGCCTGGTCCTCTTTCCTCTGTCACGATGGTAATGGAAACCAGTGACAAGGGACCGTTGCAGTGTTCATCTCTTACAACAGTACAACACAAAGGGACAGTGCTCAAGCTCAGTTTAACATTTAGTCACTGTCATGGAAGGCCTGGGTGGCAGAAATAGAATTGTGTCCCCTTCAAGCTTGGAAGCGTATTGCCTTCAGGGCACTGGGAACATGGTACCAAGAGTTTGTTTCTGAGAACCATGTTCTCTGTCAGCATCTGGGTTAGGCGGCCTACATGGGTGTTTATTTTAGTCTATAGCGTTATTGTTTTCTTGACTTGTCATCTTGTGTTTCAAATGTTTATTTCAGAGGTTTTAAGACAGGATCACAATACTGGATGGAATTCAATCAATTGAAGATAGGTTTTCGGATAGAGGCGATGTGCTCTGTCCCAGACAGTCCACCAGATGGCTGCATGCACTGGATACTGGCAGCTGTTTGCCATTGGAACTGAACAGGGCCACGTGCAGTAGGAAAACATCCATCTTTTTAATAGCCAACCACAAAAATTATTGAAATGACAGGCTACAGACCTTGACTGAGAGCAATAAAAATGACCTTGTCTTGAATGCAACCAATAGCCTAGGCCTATGAAAAGAGGGGAGACACACAGATTGTACAATATGACTTCCATCTAACCTGGAGGGAAAAAATAAAAAATACTTTCCAGTGGCATTGACTCTCCCATTGATAAAGATCATTCCAATAGCATCAATTGACATCATGCGTCCGTCAGTGCTCACTGGGCTCTTTCCCACTCTCTCTTTCTCATCTGGTCATGCTCTCTATTTGGGTGCACTACCAAAACAGGGAACTGAATGGGGAAGTATAGGTTCAATTCTAAATGTATGTCCATCTATAATTACGATAAGGATTTATTTGTATTTGTATTTCTAGACCCCCTTGTCCCCAGCTGCTTGCTAAATATTGCTAAATAAGTTCAGGTCCAAAAAATTATTCATGCAATAATTACTGATAAATGAAGTTATTTTTTTATTCCTTTAATGTTCTAGCCAAGCAATGCATAACGTCTCATCTTACAAACAACTGATGCAGTATTTTATCAAAACCCTTCCCCCTGAAAATACAATGTCTCATAGTGATTTTCTTGAAGGTCTATGTCCCTAGAGCTGGAAAACGTGTGATAGCATTACAGTAATGGGAGCTTTCTCTGTGTTATCACTCTTTCTTTCATCTCTCCATCTTTTATTTCATCAATCCATCTCTCCACTTTCTTTAAGACATAATTCGCTATGTACAAATCGAATTAAAAAAAACATGAAAGATAATATTTTCATGTCATTCTTTAAAACGATGAGACAATGTCAGGAAAACATTTGGGATGTTACGCTGACAAAAAATGGCAGTATACAAGTTATTGCTCATGTATACCCTTTCATCAGATATCATTGGAAAGCTTAGATTCCCAGCTATACATCTGACACATTTTCACAATATTCAGGTCAACATAACTTTGACCTCGAGTCTAGGGTACATATCAGAATTACCTCTATAAATTGCTTTAAAAAGGAAACCCAGGTTCATTTCAAAATTAGTTGCAAGTGGTTCTGAAAGGTCATGAAATTACCTTTCAAATGATGTATAATTTAACCAACTTTGAAAGCACCAGCTACAACTATTGTTTAAAAATGGCCCATATTGTGACATTGACATTACAATGTTGGAAGCTTCGCCATAGAATTCCATGTAGTGGGACAGCTGTTTTTGGATTGTAACTTCGGTGATAGATGCACCACATTTCACACACGGCTAGATCACAGGATTCATGCATTAGCTTTGTCAGAGCCTATCTTCTGTAGCATGTGGCAGCTCAATGTACAAGTACAATCCCTGTACAGGACGCTATCGCTGGGCCTTGAACATATATCTCACAGAGAAATTCAGTCTCAAATCGTCACCTGTTTGGGGCCAGATACTGCTGAACATCTGAGCAAAAATATCCATGTCCATGTTCTCCTGGCTGGAGTGGACATGGACAGTGTGGCAGTGCATCTGTGTGTGTGTGAGTGAGTGAGTATTGTCTGTAGCTTGTGAGGTGTGTAAACATTATTATTTTTCTGTATTTTTGTTTGGTTGCTTTTTGTGTTATTGCTCTGTATGTCTGCATGCTAAGTGTTGCTTGTCATACGTTGCTCTGCATGTGTTCATTGTCTGTCTGCATTGTCATTTAATTGTTTTTAATAAACTGCACAGGGACTGCGGTTGAAAATTAGCCGGCTGGCTAAAACCGGCACTTTTACAGAAATGTTGATTAATGTGCACTGTCCCTAAAAAAATAAACATAATAAAGTAAAGTTGAGTGAGTGAGTGAATGAGTGAGTGAGTGAGTAAGTGAGAGAGACAGAGAGCAAGAGAGAATTAGAGAGTTGTCATCATCATAACACATTTAGGGTTAGAGACACGGATGCCCAACAACACTGTGGATACCCTGAACTAGAGTACATGCGTGATGCTTTAAGAGTTACTTATGGTGGAAATTTTGCACATCATACAGAGATACTGAGGTACTACTGTACGTCAACCTGAGAGAACATGGTTGTCTAAAACCTGAGAGAAATCTGAATTTACCTCAGCTGATGTAAAGTCCAATTGTTCATTGATGTGCTTAACACAGTTGATGAGAGACTGACTACCTCACTTCTTCTTTTTATAAAAAACAAAGTGTTGAAAATTCCAAATTGTTTGCATAGTCAACTTATACACAGCTCTGACACACACACACGTACCCCACCAGACATGCCACCAGGGGTCTTTTCACAGTCCAAAAATCCAGAACAAATTCAAGAAAGCATATAGTAGTATATAAAGCCATTATTGCATGGAACTCCCTTCCATCTCATATTACTTAAATGAACAGAAAACCTGGTTTCAAGAAACAGATAAAGCAAGGCATCACGGCACAACTCCTCTCCCCTATTTTATTTTTATTTTATTTATTTATTTATTTTTTAGCAGACGCTCTTATCCAGAGCGACTTACAGGAGCAATTAGGGTTAAGTGCCTTGCTCAAGGGCACATCGACAGATTTTTCACCTAGTCGGCTCGGGGATTAGAACCAGCAACCTTTCGGTTACTGGCACTATGCTCTTAACCACTAAGCTACCTGCCGCCCTATTTGACCTAGATATTTTATGTGTGTGTATGTATTGATATGTGCCGATTTTAAATTGATGTAGTTCTGTCCTTGAGCTGTTCTTGTCTATTAATGTTCTGTAAATTATGTAATGTTTCATGTTTTGTGTGGACACCAGGAAGAGTAGCTGCTGCTTTCGCAACAGCTAATGGGGATCCTAATAACATACCAAAATACCAAACACAGTAGAACCCCATTCCGTACCAAGTAGAATGGCCAGCGCATGGGTCAAAGGAAGCCTTGACCTTCCCAGAGACCCTGTAGGTTCTAAAAGCAAAAAGGGAGAACAAGGGAGAGATGAGGAGGACGGATATGAGCGAGCGAGAGAGGGGATGTGCCCCAAATAGCACCCTATTCTCTAAAAGTAGTGCACTATTTAGGGAGCACGCTTTTTAGTCCAGGACTAGAGAATATACAACAGTCACTGTGGTCTTGAGATGACGAGGGTAGGCTATACTGTACCAGTGGAGTTTAGGTCGTTGAGCACCCTGGCAGATGCTCTGAGGAGCATCATCATGGAATGCTCACTACTCTTCAGCTGTTGGGAAGAGAACACCCATTAAACCACTCAGAGATAAAGAGGAATACAGAGAATACAGAGACAAATAAGAATGCAAACAAAGAGAGGTGGAGTATAGGTGGAAGAAGTGGAAAAGAGGTGCAATGATTCATTACATAATCAAATACTTTGGTTTTACCTTGGTGTGTGTGAACGCTTTTTCTTCTCTCCTCTTCTAAGATGCTCACTCTTTCACACAGCTCTATCTCCGTACCTCTTTTATCTACATCCTGACTTATTTTCTTCAGTGTTAATTTCAAGGGAATATGTCTTCCAGTGTTGGGGAAGCTACTCTGAAAATATAGTTTACCAAGCTACCAATTACTTCACATTGGAAGAAGTTAAGCTACGCTAACGCTACCCTTAAAAAACATATATAACGTAGTTAGATTTAGCATACCTATATCTGAAATATCATGGAATACAAATTGCAAGAACAGACTGATCCGTTGTGACAAAGCTCTTAAAAGAAAAGGAGACAAAATGAGAATGGACTCGTTTTTACCAAACAAATGTCAATTATGGAGTCAGATGTTAACAGAATGTTATATTTAGCCTATTAAACACAGAAACGATGTTTCAATTGAGAATTAGGCAGGTCTGATGCCAAAAAAGAAAGGAAATTCTTGCCTACTTCACCCATATTTTATTTTTGCAAAAAAAGGAATGTGTAGTTCCAGTAGTTAGCTACACCACTACATGGCAAAAAAGTTAACTACTGAAAACACTATCAAGATTTGAATTTAGTTCAACTACCACCAAGCTACAGAAAATGTTTGATTAAATTACTAGTTGAACTACATGTAGTTCACTACTCCATTGTACTGTATATAAGGATATGAATATATCAATAGTGTGTAAATAGTATTTTTGTTTTCTCTTGGTTTCTTTCCTATATATAACTCTTGTTTTGTTTTTAGTTTCATGTATATTATGCTGTTCTTGTCTATTACTGTTTTGTACTTTTTGTTTTATGTGGACCCCAGGAAATGTAGCTGCTGCATGTGCAGTAGCTAATGGGGATCCTAATAAACTAAACTAAACTAAACTCCCCAACACTGTCTTCAGACCACAGGTGTGTGTGAAACTCACGATAAGATTCCACCTACGGAGTCCTCTCTCCCTGGGTAGGTTGCAGTATCAACCTCTTAGTCTTACACATAAAAAGTTGCAAACCCACTAGTTTTGTCTATATGCATCACTTACTGATAATAACCTCCATGGCTGTGGCCCTAATGACACCCTATTCCCTGTAGAGACAATGGCTGCGTTTACACCCAAATCTGATATTTTTTTCACTAATTGTTCTGTAAAAGATCTGATGTGATTGAACAAAATACCAATTAATGGGAAATAGATCAGAATTGGGCTGGCTGTGTAAACACAGCCTAGGACCAGCACAGCTATTGTCAAACAAATTCAATTTCATGAAAACATTAACTCTACTAAATCAAATTTGGGACAAATTGTTATTTGGAAATAGGCCTGTAATATGTACCAGAATAATGACATTACATCATTTCTGCAGAATTGTTTTAAGTTGATTGTTTTGTCACTTTTTCATGATCTTTGGCCCTAATTTACAATCAGTAGGCCTATTTTTGGCCCCATAGAGCCCAATGGTTTGTGACGAGCGTTTTCTCGCAGACTTTTGCCTCCGTGGCTGCCAGCAAGACTACTTCCAGGTCGTAGCCATTTTGAGTGCTCGACGGTGAAGAAGAACCAAGTTGGAGAGGTGGGAAACGCTCAAGCGTGTTATGATGTTTAGTTTGTGTCCATTCTCCTGATGCAGCTGTTACAGTAGATGATATTAGCTACTGTTCTTTGAAGCATTATTCCAAACTATAGCTAGCTATTTTCTAACTTTCCAACCAAAATCTTGAAAACAAGCAAGCTGACGCTAGCTAACTGTTAGCTAGCTAACGTTAGCCAGTTGCATTTCGTCACCGAGCCCGGGGAATTTGGAAAACACTGACTGAAGAAGCAGACAGGTAATGCACAATCGTTTAGATACAATTATATAACGCGAGAATGTTTACCTACCAAGATATCAAAAATTAAGTGCATGCAATGTAAATGAAATTCACTGGTAGCGTGAAGCGCAAACGTTCGCTAGCTAGCGCCACCCAGCAAATATCCATAGCCAGCTGACCTAACTTAGCTAGTTAACATTCATGCCCCTAACTGCCGCTAGCTAGCCACAATTACGCAGATCTCAATTAGCTATCAAGGTTACCCATTTAGCTTTGTTTATTTTTTTTTAATTATTAGCTGGTTTCTGCACTATCAATAAAAAGTATCTGCATCGATATCAAACTAACGTTACTAGTTTGATCCGAAGCCATTTGGGTGAAACCCCTAATGTAGCTAACTTTACATAGCTGAGACCGATTTCTAGCCGTTCTGATTTGTAAACAGCCGCTGGCTACCTAACTAGCTTGCTAACACATTCATCATGATACGTACAGTTCGCATGGACGGTTCACATTGAGAATAGCACTATTCACTTTCAGTAATGTCATATCATGCTTCTGTCCCACATAGTCAGGCTCCAGGCGTAGGAACTACAGGGTGAGAGATGTGGGACCAGGGTGGACAGCCCTGGCCGCAATGGCCTATGAACCAGCAACAGTGGATGCAGTCCTTCCAGCACCAACAAGATCCAGGTGGGTGACATCACCTGTATACATAGAGCTCTGTCCAATTGGGAATTATCCAAGATTGGATTGGTGTAACATTGCTTTGATCATGCAGAATGACAGCTCAGTCATTATTTACAATTTTACAAAATGACACCCCAAGCAATGCTTCTCTTGTTGTCTCTCTGTGTTGTGCAGGCCAAGTGGACTGGGCAGCACTGGCCCAGGCCTGGATTGCTCAGAAAGAGTCTACAGGCCCTACAGTAGATCAGCAGAACCTTCATCCTAATGGACAGGACATACCTGGCATGGATCCTGTGGTGCCCAATAACCATGGCTCCTTCCAGGGCGACTCCAATTTTGGCAGAATGTGGCAACCTGGTAAACTCTTAACATAATTTTCTGGGGATGGAGAATATATGAGGCTTATGTCCGTGATCTGTTTTCTCACGTTGCAAGAAGACCCACCATACTTGCTATACTCAGTCTGTACATAATTGTTCTTTAGATCTCAGGGAAGGTGTGATGTCACCGATGTACTCCAAACAACATGTTCTGGCCAAATTTCACATCCACCACATTACCATACAGTACCAGTCAAAAGTATGGACACACCTATTCATTCATGGGTTTTTCTTTATTTTTACTATTTTCTACCTTGTAGAATAATAGTGAAGACATCAAAACGATGAAATAACAAATATGGAATCATGTAGTAACCAAAGAAAGTGTTCAAAAAATCAAAATATGTTTTAGATTCATCAAAGTAGCCTCCCGTTGCCTTGATGACAGCTTTGCACACTTTTGGCATTCTCTCAACCAGCTTCACCTGGAATGCTTTTCCAACAGTCTTGGAGTTCCCACATATGCTGAGCACTTGTTGGCTGCTTTTCCTTCATTCTGAGGTCCAACTCATCCCAAACCATCTCAATTGGTTAAGAGGTCAGGTGATCTGATGCAGCACTCTTTCACTCTCCTTCTTGGTAAAATAGCCCTTACACAGCCTGGAGGTGTGTTGGGTCATTGTCCTGTTGAAAAACAAATGATAGTCCCACGAAGCCCAAACCAGATGGGATGGCGTATCGCTGCAGAATGCTGTGGTTGCCATGCTGGTTAACTGTGCCTTGAATTCTAAATAAATCACAGACAGCGTCACCAGCAAAGCACCATCACACCTCCTCCTCCATGCTTCACGGTGGGAACTACACATGCAAAGACACAGCGTTTGGAACCAAAAATCTATAATTTGGACTAATTAGACCAAAGGACAGATTTCCACCGGTCTAATGTCCATTGCTCGTGTTTCTTGGCCCAAGCAAGTCTCTTCTTCTAATTGGAGTCCTTTAGTAGTGGTTTCTTTGCAGCAAGTCTCCTCTGAACAGTTGATGTTGTGATGTGTCTGTTACTTGAACTCTGAAGCATTTATTTGGGCTGCAATTTCTGAGGCTGGTAACTAATGAACTTATCCTCTGCAGCAGAGGTAACTCTGGGTCTTCCTTTCCTGTGGCGGTCCTCATGAGAGCCAGTTTCATCATAGCACTTGATGGGTTTTTGCAACTGCACTTGAAGAAACTTTCAAAGTTCTTGAAATGTTCCGTATTGACTGACCTTCATGTCTTAAAGTAATGATGGACTGTCATTTCTCTTTGCTTATTTGAGCTGTTCTTGCCATAATATGGACTTGGTCTTTTACCAAATAGGGCTGTCTTCTGTATACCACCCCTACCATGTCACAACACAACTGATTGGCTCAAACGCATTAAGAAGGAAAGAAATTCCACAAATTAACTTTTAACAAGGCACACCTGTTAATTGAAATGCATTCCAGGTGACTACCTCATGAAGCTGGTTGAGAGAATGCCAAGAGTGTGCAAAGCTGTCTTCAAGGCAAAGGGTGGCTACTTTGAAGAATCTAAAATATAAAACATATTTTGATTTGTTTAACACTTTTTTGGTTACTACATGATTCCATATGTGTTATTTCATAGTTTTGATGTCTTCACTATTCTACAATGTAGAAAATAGGAAATATTAAGAAAAACCCTTGAATGAGTAGGTGTGTCCAAACTTTTGACTGGTACTATAGCTGTGCCCCAATCAACTTAGTTCCCCTGCATTCCAGTAGTTAATGTTAGAATAGCATAACTGCAAGTGTACGTTTTGGATTTTTGATTGTCTCTTGTAAGACAAGCCTTTTGGTGGGCTTAAAGAGATCCTAATAAACAATAACAATGCACATGTGGTGTTTACAGAATGGGGGATGCACGGTCAGCCCCCTCCTCCTCCCATAGACCAGGCGTGGATCCCCCCAGGAACAGGACCTATGGGGACTGGACCTATGGATGTGGTGGCTCCCTCTGAGGACAGCAACAGCCAGGACAGTCTGGAGTTCTCTGAAGGCCACCATAGGGTCTACCCCCAGAACAGCCACGGCTTTGGGGGTCAGCCCGACAACTACGCCATGAACCCAATGGCCATGAACCAGTTTGATTATCAGGTACACACACACACACCACACACTTAAAGTAGAGTTCCATGGCTGCTGTTGTGTAGGGCCTCTCTGTCATTCAACTAGTTTGGATGGTCCTCATTTTCTCTCTCTGTAGCACGGGGCGGCTGCCACCTACGGCCCCACTCCCACAGGGTTCCACCCTCCATACTGGCAGCAGGGTCCCCCACAGAACAGACGGGACAGGCCCCCAGGCTTTAGGGACCGCCAGAGATCCCCCATCCAGATCCCCAAACAAGACGCTCCTGCTGCTGCCGCCCTCGGTGAGCATCTTCACCAACACCTCGGTACAAAAACTTCCTCATACTGCTGTCAGAGAGGTAGAGGCTTGCTTCAGCTCTCTCGCCGTTCATACCCACACCATCCAAAATGTTGTATCTCACCATGTTTTGTATCTCAGAGTTGCTCTCTACTTTTCTCAATTAGCTTTCCCAGGCACGCAGGAAAACAGACACACACACACAGCATCCAATGACCTGGCTCTCCTCTCAGATGCGGTGAAGAGGCGCACCCTGCCGGCCTGGATCCGAGAGGGCCTGGAGAAGATGGACAGGGAGAAACAGAAGAAGCTGGAGAAGGAGCGCATGGAGAAACAGCGTGCCGAAATGGCTAAAGATGAAGACAAAGAGAGCGACGCGGTGGACGAGGGAGGCGATGGGCCTCGTTTACCCCGCAAGAGTAAATTTGTAAGCATCGATCTCTTTTTGTTTCCATGGCGTCATGAATCCCATTAACCTTATGAACAATGAGTTGAAAAATCCCCAAAACAATTGCATTATATTCCTGTAAAACTGTGACACTGGTGAGCTTTCAGGAAGTCCTGTTGTCGTGTCTTTGTATCTGACCTACCACCCCTTTCCCTCCTCTGTAACAGGACAGTGATGATGAAGAGGTTGATGAAGATGAGAGGGAAGATGAGGACCGGGTCCTGACCAGGAAGCAGGAGCAGGCCAGCAGGAGCCCGTCCCCTCCCCCGGAGGACCAGAGCGAACCAGAGATGACGGAGGAGGAGAGAGAGTTCCAGCTGGTCAGTTTTGGCTTACAGCTACCATTCTGACACATTGGGGTGGGTGTAGGGCTGGGCGATATATCGAATTCTTGCGCGATATTCTAAATGCCAATATTGCAAGAATCTAGTTTTGTATTTTTATGAGCGTTTGTCGGCTTGTAGGCTACTCATGTCTTTTTGGTCTCTTCTCTTTTGTCCTCCTCCTGTGTGCACCTTCCCATTTACACCAGAGATCTGTATATAATGATGACATGCTCATGTCTCCTCCCTAACAATGGGAATCGTCCCGAAGGCAGACGACAAGCTTATGTCCAAAATAAGCCCATAGAAACGCATTGGGTTAATATTGGACAGATTTTGGCGAGAGCGAAACCTCTCGCTTCGCATCTTCCTCTCTGTTTACACACACACACCAAGCCCCTTCCCCTGCCACTCACAACAACAAAGATGAGAGATCACTTCTTCCTCTCTGACAAGCGGTTTCAACACACAATTTGCATGTGAGGTTTGGTCCAACAGAATCGGTCATATGAACACCGAAACACATTGATACATTATTTTACTGTAATAAAGTTAACCTTTCTAGCAATACCCTTTTTATGTCAACTCCTCAAATTGCACGCAGAGCAGACACTACTAAAACGGGAGTATCAATGAACATTGATTCTGGAAAAGTAATGCTCAGTTTGTCGGGGTGGCATTGCGGTACCACTAGCAGCATTTTAGCCAAATACTGTTATACTAGCTGTCTAGTCTGTTTTATACATTTGCAATAAGCATAAAACACTAGTTATATAAGGAATTGGTCATTTGTTCTCATTCTGAGAAAAAAGGTAGGCCACTTGAATTCAACATCTGAACAAAATGGACAGGCTAGCATGCTGTTCAAACAGTTGGAGACGGACAGAAGTGTGTGTTCATAGCAATTCAACTGTTCTGCCTTGTTAACTACAACTATTAAGATTAGCTAGCTACTCACTAGCACTTGTGCTTGAGAGATTGTGTACATTTTCTATAATGACTGTTATAAGAAGTTAGTCATTATTAGTGAATGTGCATTATGCATGGTTCTGGTAAAATTTGTAACAAAAAGGAAATTTTAATAGACAGACTTGAATGCCAGATCAGTTATTATTGCAAAAAATCAGGTTAAACTCTTTTGATAAAGTATTTAAATTATTAGTGGGTTGTGGAAGGCTTACATTTAGCCTAGGTATAATTTCACAAGCCCTGAATTCATTAGATCAATGTATTGGACCTTTAATTGTACAACAAAGCTTATTTGGAGAAAAAAAATTTTATAAACTAGATGTGTATATATTGTGAATCGCCTATAAGTTTGAAAAAATCAAGATATAATTTTTAGGCCATATCGCCCAGCCCTATGAGGTTGTCTTTTGTTATAAATTTTTTTTGTGTTATGTTATAGAGCCCTGATGCTCAAATAGCAGCCCGGTTCACTAATTTCAATATATAAGAAAACATCCTATCCAAGACTGCAAAAATTGCCCTCTTGACAAACAAGTGATTATCATTAACTCATGTCAGAGCCTTTTCTCACATTTCTCTCCAAAGATGATTGTGACTAAAACTCTGCTGACGGAAATCCTACTGGAGGTCACCAACGAAGAGATCCAAACAGTGGCCAAAGAGACGCACCGCAAAGCCACCAAAGGTCTGCTTACCCCCGTCTCCTCGAGCCCACGCATCATCTGTGCCTGTCACAAAGACATTTTTAAGCCTGTTTTATATAGTCTGAAAACGTCACTCAATTCATCTCTGTAAGTCAGGGTAATTGAGTGGCAAACTTGGAGTATTTTCAAAATGTGATCATATGCATCTTCAACCATTCTCTGCTAATGCAACGGAAGGAAAAAGAAAATGTCCCTGGTAAAAAAGAAAGAGCAGCTGGTGTATTTAAAAGAAAACAACAGTAACCTAAACTGTTTTCCCTGGTTCCTGCTCCTGAAGGTCCTCCTGAATGACTGTATTTCTGAACCCATTGACTCTAACAAACGCTGACCTATAGATCAGATTCAAGTGACTTGTCCCCGTTTATCTGACACTAGTGCATTAGTACAGAGTGGTTCTTCTCCCCCATTCCAACTGTCTTGACTTTGAATGTGTGTGACAGACGTTGTTTGTTAACCCCTTCTCTTTTCTCCGTTTTTGTCTCTTTTTTTTCTTTTTTTTTGCCAAAGACCGCTCTTGTGAATAGTGCATTATCTGTGCCCCCTTCTCTAGAGACTTCTCTATGGTGGCTCTATGTGTTTTAACATGTTGTTCCTGTTGTTGATGTGAATCAAAGCTCCTGCCAAACAGCTGGCACAGTCAAGTGCACTGACTTCTCTGATCGGCATCGGTGAGTTCCTCCTCTTTTCTTCCAGGCGGGGGTGGGGGGGGGGGACGACACATGGGTGTGGGGAGGGAAGGGGGGGGTTGTTGGGGGATAAGAATCAGAGCTCAAACCCCTGTCCCCTCACTGCTTTAGTAGCTCGAGAGTGACTGAGGCAGCCGAGGGGAAGGTCCACCTCACAGCTAGGGTTGAAAAATTCCCCAAACATTCCCCAAAATCTTATATATATTTTTTTTATTCTGGTTGGAAGGGAATAAGCTGTGAGGGAATCCTCCAACCTGGAATCTTTCAACCGGGATTTCTGAAAAAAACTGGGAATTTGGGGAACGTTTCTGAAATTTTGCAACCCTTCACAGCACAGTTTGAGTGTCTTGGCCTTAGATTTACTAAGTATTTTCTTATCAGAACACTAAAGAGCATGCCATCTTACAGTAAGTGGAGTGTCAGTGGGTTTCTAGTGTGTAGTTCAGTTGGAAACATAGACAGTAGGCTGCGTCTTTGACGGGAAGCTTGGTTGGTTGTATGGGTAGTTACTGCGATCTTGCTGAAAAAGCTGGGGGCTCTGTTGTGGCAGGTGGACTTGGCGACTATGGCTCGGACTTGAGTGAGGACGAGGAGGAGAACAGCGCCCGGGCGTCCGAGTCCTCTGACACGGACGAGGAGGAGCTGCACCACCGCATCCGGGAGAAGATGGACGCCTTCCGACGCAAGGAGAAGGAGCTGCAGGAGAGACAAGCGCAGGAGGCGCAGCACGCACGTGGTGAGGGAACTAAATGCAATATCAATATCAATAAGCAGTGGTGACGTTGTCTTTGAGAGTAACATAAATGTTTTGTTTTTTGTGTCTCCCAGAAGAGATGGTGCTGGACAGAGTGAGCAGAGAGAAGGGGGGATTATGACGAGGGCCAGTTAGAGAGCCTCCATAAACAGGAAGTGAGAGAGAGGGAGGCGGAACCCACAGCAGAGAGACGCAGGTCCCGCAGTGAGCCTGAGGTTAGCAGCGAGGTCAGGCAGGCGGGCCGGGGTAAGGAGCGCAGCGGAGGGCGGGGCACCAGCGGTTCCCCCAGCAACGGACGCAGCAGCCAGCTCCAGCTCCAGCAGCGCCAGCAGCCGATCGTCTTCCTTCTCCTCGTCATCCTCTGCCTCCTCACGCTCCTCTTCGCGCTCCTCCTCGCCCCGGAGGAAGAGGAGGCGCAGCCGCTCCTCCTCGCACAGGGCCCGTGGTGGCGGCCGGCGCAGCCACAGTCGCAGCTCCCACAGACGCCACAGGGAGCGCAGCGACGACAAGGCCCGGGAGAGGAGGAAGGGCAGCCGGAACCACAGCACAGAGCGCTCGGCCCGCCACCGGAACCGCAGCCACTCTCGAGAGCGAAGGGTCAGCAGGGGAGGCAAGAGCAGGTCCAAGGAGAGGAACAGAGACAGGAAGATGAGCAGGGAGCGCAGGGATAGTCACAGCCGCAGCAGCAAGCACAAGCAGAAAGCCTCCAGCAAGGATAGGGACAGGAAGAAAGACCGGAGTGGCAGCCACGACAAGAAGGAGAAAGAGAAGAAGGAGAAGGAGAAAGAGTTAGATAGGAAGAAGAGAAGCAGAAAGCCAAAGAGAAAGAGCGGGAAAAGGAGAAAGGGAAGGAAAAGGAGAGGGGGAAGGAGAAAGCGAGGGATAGGGAGGTGAGCGCTGTGGTGGCGGAGGAGAGTAACGGCAAATCCAAGAAAAGAAAAGAGAGCAGCGATCACACAGACCCTCAGGGTGACAAGCACTCCCGTCAGGATAGCAGGGCAAGCAAGAAGGGCTCCGCCAAATCTAGCAAGAGGTACTCTGACTCAGAGTCGAGCAGGTCCCCCACCCCCGAGGTTAGCAAGGAAAAGAAGTCTAAGAAATCCAAACGTAGTCGCTCAAGATCAACGGAAAAATCTCACAAGTCTGGTAAGAAGGCAAGCCGCAAAAACAAGTCTAAGTCACGATCAAGGTAGTATTCCATTTTTTACCCTCTTTTTCTGTTGTATCATGTTGTTTCTGTTGTGTGTGGGTGCGTGTCGTATTGGAGGCCTACTAACCAGTAATATTTTTTTAGCTCAACTTTCTTCGTTCACTGTCAGGGCTCAAGGCTACCTTACAAAGATAAATAGTAAATATTTTCATGTTGTGTTAAAAAAGGAACCATTTGTAGCCAAGTTTATGTTCCTCAAAGACTGTCTCCATAGTGCCCTCTGTTGGGCATGTGGAGCATATCAATCCATTTTAGTGCCTTGTGTGAATGTAGTAACTGTTCTTCCCAAAGGAGAGTGACTAAGTTCATTCAAAAATCAATGCAATATTGTCCTCATGATGACCTGATGTTAACAGGGCCCCAGTGGGGCTGTGTGAGGATGTGACTGTTTCTTTTGCCTGTGTCTGTCATTTTGCATGAGTGTGTGTGAGTGGTGCAGCACCATTAATGTTCCCCTTCGCGTCTCTGTTTCAGGTCCACGTCTCCCGCCAGGCGCTGGCGTTGAGGAGCACAGGGCTCCCTAATCTGTGCACTTACTTTTAAATTCCATGAGTTTAACAGGCTTGTCTCATTATAGAGGCAACGGTGTAGGTGAACTCTCCACTCCCCCCTTCCCCCAATCCTCTATCTTTGTAAATATGTTATTTTTAAGTGCAAGTCGGCAAACAGGACATTTTGAATGCTAGGTTTTTGCCTTGTATCATGCAAAGCTCGGAGGCTTTGTAGTCAGTAGAATCTGGGAAAGATGTCATTTTAAAAAAGCTAAACAGGATAAACTTATTAATGTAAATTGTCCAATAAAACTGAAATGATCCCTTGTTCTGGGTATTTTCTTTGTCTACTGTATAACTGTTCCCAAATGATGAAGATGAACTCATCATGGGAAACACCATTTACAGTGAGGGGAAAAAAAGTATTTTATCCCCGGCTGATTTTGTACGTTTGCCCACTGACAAAGAAATGATCAGTCTATAATTTTAATGGTAGGTTTATTTGAACAGTGAGAGACAGAATAACAACAACAAAATCCAGAAAAACGCATGTCAAAAATGTTATAAATTGATTTGCATTTTAATGAGGGAAATAAGTATTTGACCCCCTCTCAATGAGAAAGATTTCTGGCTCCCAGGTGTCTTTTATACAGGTAACGAGCTGAGATTAGGAGCACACTTAAAGGGAGTGCTCCTAATCTCAGTTTGTTACCTGAATAAAAGACACCTGTCCACAGAAGCAATCAATCAGATTCCAAACTATCCACCATGGCCAAGACCAAAGAGCTCTCCAAGGATGTCAGGGACAAGATTGTAGACCTACACAAGGCTGTAATGGGCTACAAGACCATCGCCAAGCAGCTTGGTGAGAAGGTGACAAAATAACTGTCAATCTCCCTTGGCCTGGGGCACCATGCAAGATCTCACCTCGTGGAGTTGCAATGATCATGAGAACGGTGAGGAATCAGCCCAGAACTACATGGGAGGATCATGTCAATGATCTCAAGGCAGCTGGGACCATAGTCACCAAAAAAACAATTGGTAACACACTACGCCGCGAAGGACTGAAATCCTGCAGCGCCCGCAAGGTCCCCCTGCTCAAGAAAGCACATATACAGGGCCGTCTGAAGTTTGCCAATGAACATCTTAATGATTCAGAGGAGAAACTGGGTAAAAGTGTTGTGGTCAGATGAGACCAAAATGGAGCTCTTTGGCATCAACTCAACTCGCTGTGTTTGGAGGAGGAGGAATGCTACCTATGACCCCAAGAACACCATCCCCACCGTCAAACATGGAAGTGGAAACATTATGCTTTGGGGGTGTTTTTCTGCTAAGGGGACAGGACAACTTTACCGCATCAAAGGGACGATGGACGGGGCCATGTACCGTCAAATCTTGGGTGAGAACCTCCTTCCCTCAGCCAGGGCATTGAACATGGGTCGTGGATGGGTATTCCAGCATGACAATGACCCAAAACACACGGCCAAGGCAACAAAGGAGTGGCTTAAGAAGAAGCACATTAAGGTCCTGGAGTGGCCTAGCCAGTCTCCAGACCTTAATCCCATAGAAAATCTGTGGAGGGAGCTGAAGGTTTGAGTTGCCAAACGTCAGCCTCGAAACCTTAATGGCTTGGAGAAGATCTGCAAAGAGGAATGGAACAAAATCCCTCCTGAGATGTGTGCAAACCTACAAGAAACGTCTGACCTCTGTGATTGCCAACAAGGGTTTTGCCACCAAGTACTAAGTCATGTTTTGCAGAGGGGTCAAATACTTATTTCCCTCATTAAAATGCTAATCAATTTATAACATTTTTGACATTAGTTTTTCTGGATTTTCTTGTTGTTATTCTGTCTCTCACTGTTCAAATAAACCTACCATTAAAATTAGAGACTGATAATTTATTTGTCAGTGGGCAAACGTACAAAAGCAGCAGGGGATCAAATACTTTTTTCCCTCACTGTACAGTGCATTCGGAAAGTATTCAGACCCCTTGACTTTTTCCACATTTTGTACATTACAGCCTTATTCTAAAATAGATTAAATAAAAACTCCAGTAGTTTACTACAGAGTCCACCTGTAGTAAATGCAATTGATTGGACATGATTTGGAAAGGCACACACCTTTCTATATAAGGTCCCACAGTTGACAGTGAACGTCAGAGCAAAAACCAAGCCATGAGGTTGAAGGAATTGTCGTAGAGCTACGAGACAGGATTGTGTCGAGGCACAGATTTGGGGAAGGGTACCAAAAAATGTCTGCAGCATTAAAGGTTCCCACAGTGGCTTCCAATATTCTTAAATGGAATAAGTTTGGGACCACCAAGACTTCCTAGAGCTGGCCACCTGGCCAAACAGAGCAGTCGGGGGAGAAGGGCCTTAGTCAGGGAGGTGACCAAGAACCTGACAGAGCTCCAGAGTTCCTCTGTGGAGAAGGGAGAACCTTCCAGAAGGACAACCATCTCTGCAGCACTCCACCTATCAGGCCTTTATGGTAGAGTGGCCAGACGGAAGCCACTCAGTAAAAAGCACATGAACACCTGCTTGGAGTTTGCCAAAAGGCACTTAAAGACTCTGACCATGAGAAACAAGATTCTCTAGTCTGATGAAACCAAGATTGAACTCTCTGGCCTGAATGCCAAGTGTCACGTCTGGAAGAAACCTGGCACCATACCTACTGTAAAGCATGGTGGTGGCAGCATCATGCTGTGGGGATTGAAAACCTGCTCCAGAGCGGGGTGAAGGTTCACCTTCCAACAGGACAATGACCCTAAGCACACAGCCAAGACAACGCAGGAGTGGCTTCGGGACAAGTCTCTGAATGTCCTTAAGTGGGCCAGCCAGAGCCCGGACTTGAACCCGTTGAACATCTCTGGAGAGACCTGAAAATAGCTGTACAGCGACGCTCCCCATCCAACCTGACAGAGCTTGAGAGGATCTGCAGAGAAGAATGGGAGAAACTCCCCAAATACAGGTGTGCAAAGCTTGTAGCGTCATACCCAAGAAGACTCGATGTTGTAATCGCTGCCAAAGGCGCTTCAACAAAGTACTGAGTAAAGGGTCTGAATACTTATGTAAATGTAATATCAGTTTTTTATTTTAAATAAATGTGTAAAAATGTAAAAAACCTGTTAAATTAATCAATCTTAGAATAAGGCTGTAACGTAACAATGTGGAAAAAGTCAAGGGGTCTGAATACTTTCCGACTGCATTGTATGTACCACACTAAAGGCATGACTGAAGTGTTGTATGTCACTCATTTGTTAGTAGTGTAGATGTATTTATTGAAAAATGTGTGTGCAACTGACTTCCAAATAATAATTGTTCTTTTTTTTGGGGGGGGGGGGTCATTAGACCTGCAGTAATTTGGATTGAGTGCAATTAATAACATGCCATTATTAATAAAATGTAATTCATATTGATAATTTTGAACACTCAGGAAATCTACAAAGAGGAACATTTTGTAAGTTTAGCTATATGAACACTACAAAATCACCATATTTTATATATACTGAACAAAAAATATAAATGTAACATGTAAAATGTTGGTCCCATATTTCATGAGTTGAAATAAAAGCTTATTGCTCTCATTTTGTGAACAAATTTGTTTACATCCCTGTTAGTGAGCATTTCTCTGCCAAGATAATCCATCCACCTGACAGGTGTGGCATATCAAGAAGCTGATTAAACAGCATGATCATTACACATGTGCACCTTGTGCTGGGTACAATAAAAGGCCACTCTTAAATGTGCAGTTTTGTCACACAACACAATGCCACAGATGTCTAAATTTTGAGGGAGCACGCAATTGGCATGCTGACTGCAGAAATGTCCACCAGAGCTGTTGCCAGTGAATTTAATGTTAATTTCTCTACCATAAGCCACCTCCAACGTCATTTTAGAGAATTTGGCAGTACTTCCAATTGGCCTCACAACCGCAGACTACGAAGTCCGGCTTCTTCACCTGCGGGATCGTCTGAGACCAGCCATCCAGACAGCTGATGAAACTGAGGAGTATTTCTGTCTGTAATAAAGCCCTTTTGCCTATGCCCTCCCAGGTCCACACATGGCTGCGCCCCTGCCCAGTCATGTGAAATCTATAAATTAGGGCCTAATGAATTTATTTCAATTCACTGATTTCCTTATATTAACTATAACAAAGTAAAATCGTTGAAATTGTTGCATGTTGCGTTTATATTTTCGTTCAGTATATATTACTGGCACAGTCCAATTTCATCTTTATGTTATGTTTGAAAGATACAATAACGCAGTACACAATATTGTGTTTTATTAGCCCAAAGGCCGGCAGATGACGATATTGTTGTTTCAACTTAGCATTCAAAGGGAATGTATGCAGCCGGCTGTACTCGTACCCCCCGTGGACCGACCAGTTCGTGCATAAACATTTCTCCATTCAGCTGAAACAAGATGAAATGACTACCGCCATAACGGGGCTTGGTTTAGTGTTATACACTAAATGGCCAAAAGTATGTGGACACCTTATTCCAAGATCATGGGCATTCATCTGGAGTTGGTCCCCCCTTTGCTGCGATAACAGCCTCCACTCTTCTGGGAAGGCTTTCCCCTAACTGTTGGAACATTGCTGCGGGACTTCAGCCACAAGAGCATTAGTGAGGTCGGGCACTGATTTTGGGTGATTAGGCCTGGCTCGCAGTCGGCGTTCCTATTCATCCCGAAGGTGTTCGATGGGGTTGTGCAGGCCAGTCAAGTTCTTCCACACCGATCTCGACAAACCATTTCTGTATGGACATCGCTTTGTGCACAGGGGCATTGTCATGGTGAAACAGGAAAGGGCCTTCCCCAAACTGTTGCCACAAAATTGGAAGCACAGAATCGTCTAGACTGTCATTGTATGCTGTGGCTTTCAGATTTCCCTTGACTGGAACTAAGGGGCCTGGCCCGAACAATGAAAAACAGCCCCAGATCATTATACCTCCTCCACCAAACTTTACATTTAGCACTATGCATTTGGGCAGGTAGCGGTCTCCTGGCATCAGCCAAAGCCAGATTTGTCTGTCAGACTGCCAGATGATGAAGCGTGATTCATCACTCCAGAGAATGCATTTCCACAGCTCCAGAATCCAATGGCGGCGAGCTTTACACCACTCCAGCTGAAGCTTGGCATTGTGCATGGTGATCTTAGGCTTCAGCACTCAGCGGTCCCGCTGAGCGGTTGTTGCTCCTAGAAGTTTCCACTTCACAATAACAGCACTTACAGTTGACCGGGGAAGCTCTAGCAGGGCAGAAATTTGACTTACTGACTTGTTGGAAAGGTGGCATCTTATGACTGTGCCACCTTGAAAGTCACTGAGCTCTTCAGTAAGGCCGTTCTACTGCCAATGTTTGTCTATGGAGATTGCATGGCGGTGTGCTCGATTGTATACACCTGTCAGCAACGGGTGTGGCTGAAACAGCTGAATTCACTAATTTCAAGGGGTGTCCACATACCTTTGTATATGTTCCACACAATAACACCAATCTTCAAAATGTATCACCCCCCACCTTATTTTACAACAGGCTACGTTACAGCTTTGTGTTTAATCGTTGATATATTACTGAACACATAGTATTGGCTTAATTGAGCTTTTATACACTATTATAATAATTTGGGACTGGAGTAGATTGTGCCCGGAACCAGTAGCTAGTAGGAACTGTCTGTGCTCAGCAGTGTTTCCACTCGAACAGTAAGATAATGAGTACACCACGGTCACATTGACCTGTTGATACAGAACAGAAATATAAATGTAAAAAACAGACAGTTTATCCAATAACATGTATTCAAAGAAGTTTGGACGGCTCATCTTAGGGTTTTGTACCCGCTGTTCAACAAATGTGGTGAATGGCACTTCTACTTCAGCTAGGACTGCAGTCAGCTGGACTTCAGTATGTAAACATGGCACGCAGTTTCTGGAGCGTCGCTCTCAAATGGGTTTCGAGCATGTGAGGTATGGTACTATTCCGTTTTAGTTTGCAGATGTGGTCTGAGTGTCTTGGCGATTGCACATGGACTCAGTTGCCTAACTAACTCAATGCTCTTGGAAAATGGTTTCGTTCCATGTCGTCTTTTTGCAGCCATGCTGCGAATCTCAGAAGGGCGTAATCTCAGTATGGGTATTCATCACTAGACTAGAAAGCAAACGGGGAGGGGCCTACGTGTGTCCAATAGAAACTCGTTTTCTACTGTTTGATACATTTACATTTTAGTCATTTAGCAGACGCTCTTATCCAGAGCGACTTACAGTTAGTGAATGCATACATTCTTTTTTTTATACTGGCCCCCCGTGGGAATCGAACCCACAACCCTGGCGTTGCAAATGCCATGCTCTACCAACTGAGCTACATCCCTGCCGGCCATTCCCTCCCCTACCCTGGACGACGCTGGGCCAATTGTGCGCCGCCCCATGGGTCTCTCGGTCGCGGCCGGCTACGACAGAGCCTGGATACGAACCAGGATCTCTAGTGGCACACCTAGCACTGCGATGCAGTGCCTTAGACCACTGCGCCACTCGGGAGACCTCATTATGATACCGTGTTCATTAATTATTACACCCCAGGGTTGTATTCATAAGTGCACGCCTTAGCAAAACTGTTTACTCCAAATGCTCTCTAGTGTTATGTAGACGGTTTAGTTTTGCTTCTGTGTGTGCCATCCCTACTCCACAAGGGGGCAAAAGGGGCCTCAGTTGAAACTTGTGCCCCCTCAGTTTTAGTTTCATGTCCCTATATAAAAATAGCAAAAAAGTTCAAATGATTGAGTGACAAGTTGGCGCAAAATCTGTATCTTCACCCTGAAGAAGGCACAGTGATGCCGAAATGTTGGTGGTTTTTTACCCAATAAATTACTGAGAGTTTATACATGGCGTGTGACTCTCTTTATTAGTTTTTATAGATTATTCAAAGTAGCCACCCTTTGCCTTGATGACAGCTTTGCAAGCTCTTGGCATTCTCTCAACCAGCTTCATGAGGAATGCTTTTCCAACAGTCTTGAAGGAGTTCCCACATGCTGAGCACTTGTTGGCTGCTTTTCCTTCAAACCATCTCAATTGGGTTGAGGTCAGGTGATTGTGGAGGCCAGGTCATCTGATGCAGCACTCCATCACTCTCCTTGGTCAAATAGCCCTTACACAGCCTGGAGGTGTGTTGGGTCATTGTCCTGTTGAAAAACAAATGATAGTCCCGCTATGCTCAAACCAAAGTTCTTGAAATTTTCCAGATTGACTGACCTTCATGTCTTAAAGTAATGATGGACTGGCGTTTCTCTTTGCTTATTTGAACGGTTCTTGCCATAATATGGACTTGGTCTTTTACCAAATAGAGCTATCTTCTGTATACCACCCCATACCCTGTCACAACACAACTGATTGGCTCAAACACATTAAGAAGGAAAGAAATTCCACAAATTAACTTTTAACAAGGCACACCTGTTAATTGAAATTTATTCCAGGTGACTACCTCATGAAGCTGGTTGAGAGAATGCCAAGAGTGTGCAAAGCTGTCATCATGGCAAAGGTTGACTACTTTGAAGATTCTCAAATATAAAATATATTTTGATTTGTTTAACTATTTTTTGGTTACTACATGATTCCATATGTGTCATTTCATCGTTTTGATGTCTTCACTATTAACCCTGGAATGAGTAGGTGTGTCCAAACTTTTGACTGGTACTGTACATATCGTTAATGTTCATCATAGAAATAGATACATTCTATTATGGTTTTCTTGATAGCCTATTGGTTTTCGTGATTGTGAATGGAACTGTAGGCCTACGTATTGGAAACGTGTTTATGGTAGGCATTACTTAATTGATTTTGTGGTTCGAATTTGATCCACAGAAGTGTATTGTGCCATATCACAACGTATTGCTGTACTCATGAGCGGCATGGTTTTCCATTTGTTTGGCAAGACTGCTATAATAGGCTGTAGGCTATGTTGTGGTTATTTGGATCTCCATTTGCCTTTTGTTTACTCTGTTTGTTTACTATTAATGTAACTAGCCTAAATATAGATTTTGTCATGCCTTTATCGATCTGATATTTTGTTTACTAGGCCTACTTGGTACCGCTGTTTTGTTCCGTTCGCATTTTGCAGTTGTCAGTATTCAAACCCAAACTGCTATTCAGTATTTCTGCTTGCATGCATGAATAACTAGGCTACTACCTTCAGCATTTAGTTAGCATTATTTTGGTAAGCCATTCACATGGGCTGTTTGTAATGGGTAAATTACCCTATCTGTCTTGTAGCCTATATGCATGACCAAAATGGCCTTGTTTAAGTGTGTAGGGCGCTGTCCATTGTGCTGAGGAGATGGGCTACAGATTTCACACCAACCTGTCACTTCAAAAGCAATCAATCAATGGTCTCGGAGTCTCAGCATTTTAACTTTATGTTTAATGTAGTATAGTGTGATATAAGCAGAATTCTATATAATTCCAATGTATGAACCCCCCCCAAAAATTGTGCGCCCTCACTGATTTCAACTGCCCCCTTAGTCACTTTATCCTGGCGTTGGGTCTGGTGCGTGCTCTAACGAATACGACCCAGGCGTTGTGAGATCTACGCTGTGTGACTGCAATAGAGACGACCTGGGACGTCCCCAATGTCTGATACATGTCAGTATTTGAGTGCCTAATGACAACTGTTTTGCATCTGTAGGACTCGCTCTGCCTCCAAGACCACTGTGGACCCAAATGAGGTGAAGAGGTTCCAGCTTTTCGCCAACAAGTGGTGGAACGAGCAGGGAGACTTCGCAGCCCTCCACTCAATGAACGACCTCAGGGTGCCTTTCATACGGTGTGTGTGTGTATGCCTATAGTTTATTCACCCCATTGCATATTAGATGCCACAATCATCCACTGATTAGGGCTACTTTAGACCTAGAATCTATGTCAGAGCCAGTTACAGTGAGGGAACAAAGTATTTGATCCCCTGCTGATTTTGTACGTTTGCCCACTGACAAAGAAATGATCAGTCTATAATTTTAATGGTAGGTTTATTTGAACAGTGAGAGACAGAATAACAACAAAAAAATCCTGAAAAACGCATGTCAAAAATGTTATAAATTGATTTGCATTTTAATGAGGGAAATACATTTTTGACCCCTCTGCAAAACATGACTTAGTACTTGGTGGCAAAACCCTTGTTGGCAATCACAGAGGTCAGACGTTTCTTGTAGTTGGCCACCAGGTTTGCACACATCTCAGGAGGGATTTTGTTCCACTCCTCTTTGCAGATCTTCTCCAAGTCATTAAGGTTTCGAGGCTGACGTTTGGCAACTCGAACCATCAGCTCCCTCCACAGATTTTCTATGGGATTAAGGTCTGGAGACTGGCTAGGCCACTCCAGGACCTTAATGTGCTTCTTCTTGAGCCACTCCTTTGTTGCCTTGGCCGTGTGTTTTGGGTCATTGTCATGCTGGAATACCCATCCACGACCCATTTTCAATGCCCTGGCTGAGGGAAGGAGGTTCTCACCCAAGATTTGACGGTACATGGCCCTGTCCATTGTCCCTTTGATGTGGTGAAGTTGTCTTGTCCCCTTAGCAGAAAAACACCCCCAAAGCATAATGTTTCCACCTCCATGTTTGACGGTGGGGATGGTGTTCTTGGGGTCATAGGCAGCATTCCTCCTCCTCCAAACACAGCGAGTTGAGTTGATGCCAAAGAGTTCTGACTACAACACTTTCACCCAGTTCTCCTCTGAATCATTCAGATGTTCATTGGCAAACTTCAGACGGGCCTGTATATGTGCTTTCTTGAGCAGGGGGACCTTGCGGGCGCTGCAGGATTTCAGTCCTTCACGGCGTAGTGTTACCAATTGTTTTCTTGGTGACTATGGTCCCAGCTGCCTTGAGATCATTGACAAGATCCTCCCGTGTAGTTCTGGGCTGATTCCTCACCGTTCTCATGATCATTGCAACTCCACGAGGTGAGATCTTGCATGGAGCCCCAGGCCGAGGGAGATTGACAGTTATTTTGTGTTTCTTCCATTTGCGAATAATCGCCACAACTGTTGTCACCTTCTCACCAAGCTGCTTGGCGATGGTCTTGTAGCCCATTCCAGCCTTGTGTAGGTCTACAATCTTGTCCCTGACATCCTTGGAGAGCTCTTTGGTCTTGGCCATGGTGGAGAGTTTGGAATCTGATTGATTGCATCTGTGGACAGGTGTCTTTTACACAGGTAACAAGCTGAGATTAGGAGCACTCCCTTTAAGAGGGTGCTCCTAATCTCAGCTCGTTACCTGTATAAAAGACACCTGGGAGCCATAACTCTTTCTGATTATAGACTGATCATTTCTTGTCATGGGCAAACGTACAAAATCAGCAGGGGTCAAATACTTTCCCCATCCTCACGTACAGACCCTTAGACCCGAGGGACTGGATCCAGAATTCAAAATAATGTCATGGGTCTGGGTCGGATCTGATATGATTGTCACGGCTCGTAGGTATGTGTCATTTGAACGGACTTGTCCGGAAGAGCCCGTACAGATCCGAACACGACTGCTGCAGTAGGGGGAGAGAGGGAGCAATTTGTTAAATTATGCAGCTGCTCTTGCTTTTCACGAGAGTGGAGCGTGTAGTTTGTTGTTTGTTGGCCAATCATAAATCATCAAAGCAGCAAAAGGCTACAGTCATAGAGCCTCGCTCCGTGTGTGGCAAAAGCTAGGAGATATCGAAGTTAATCAATGGAAGATGGAATTAAAATGACGGAATTAAAAGTTAAAGGAGAAGGATAGGCTACAATGACCAAGAGCCAACCGGTAGGGTGCAACTTAATATTTTGAATGCAATTGTTGTTATTTGTAACTGTAGGATGAGAAAGCGCATGCACTGTAGCCACAATTAGCCTAGCTAGCTAACGTTAGCTAGCTTAACTAGCTTCTCCCGGTTTGATGCAGTTAAAACAGGTACTACTTAATCATAGCTATGGCAGCTATTAGTCTACTATAGCGCGAGTCGGCTTGGTTGGTTGCAGTCTCTAGTCTCTCCCTCACTGCTCCCGTATCACTCGCTCACAGTACGGCCCCTCCCCTGCCTGTTAGAGGAGCACCTCTCTTTCACTGATGACATTCGTTATGTGAGCTAAAATGATGTCAGAGCCAGGCAGTACAAGTTAGTGACAGACCCCAGTTGATCCATGTTACATTGAGACAAAAAGTTCAGAAGTGAGAAATGCCTGAAGTAGGTGTGAGGTCAAAAATAGAGGTTCGGGGGCTTGTATATGGATAGGGTTGATACAAGGGCAGATGATATGGAAAGAGTTGATTCCTCCACATCAAAGCTATGCAAGCTATATGTCTGAGGGTATTTCGATTGATAAGATATGCAATATTCTCCACGCCTAATCAGTGCGTTCCCATTCATCCAGCCTACAGTAGCAAATCCCTTTCCTTCCTGTCTGTGAACTGGCGGTGATGAGTCTCAGTGGTGACAGTGTGACTGAGGGATGTCTTACTCAACACTGATGTGTCTCTGCCCTCAGGTTATGTTTAAACGAGGGGACAACAGCACTGATTTGGTTGGTTTAGCATCAGAATCCTCAGTTTTTTAGGAATGTTATTTGTTTATTTACTTATGCTAGCGTAGTTTGCGAGCAGAAACCAGAAGGAAGCGCAGCGGTAGGCTACATGGTCCCTCATCAAAAGCATTAGAGTTGTGTGTGGAGATGGGCTGGATGGGTAGTGTTTAGAGTTGCTGAAGGGCGTCCAGGCTAAAGCTCTCTCCCTGCAGCCCTCTCAGGCTTTCTCTCCCGCTCTCTGTGCCAAGGCTGTGGGAGATCCAGTGGCAGGGCAGTAATGAGGGGGACACACATGACTCCTCGCCCGCTCCATATACATCTTGCCTGGGGGGACAGCAGCCAGAGGGAATGGGCCGGAGATGGGGGTCAAGAGAGGGAAATGTAATTTAGCTAGGGGATTATTAGAGAGCGGTGACTGTGTAGCCAAGGCGATTGAGATTCTGACAGTAGGAGGTGTGGGGAAACATGGAGACCACACACACAAACAGACTAGGGATAGGCAATTTACATGTTTTGCCTGCTCGAATGGGAGAGAAAAAATCAAGATGTGCAAAGCTGATAGAGACATACCCATGACCACTCAAAGCTGTAATCGCTGCCAAAGGTGCTTCTATAAAGTATTGACTTAGTGGCGTGAATACTTATGTCAATTGGATATTTTTAAAATGGGGTATTGTGTGTAGATGGGTGAGCTTTCTTTTTAACATAATCCATTTTGAATTCAGTCTGTAACACAATAGAATGGGGTATGAACACTTTCTGAATTTTTCCACATTTTGTTACGTTACAGCCTTATTCTAAAATGGATTAAATTGTTTTTTCCCTCATCAATCTACACACAATACTCCATAATGACAAAGCAAAAGTTTTGCAAATGTATTAAAAATAAACAATGGAAATATCATATTTACATACACTACCGTTCAAAAATTTGGGGTCACTTAGAAATGTCCTTGTTTTCGAAAGTCCATTGTCCATTAAAATAACATCAAATTGATCAGAAATACAATGTAAACATTGTTAATGTTGTAAATGGCTATTGTAGCTGGAAACTGCTGATTTTTTTATGGAATATCTACATTTATCAGCAACCATCAGTCCTGTGTTCCAATGGCACGTTGTGTTTGCTAATCCAAGTTTATCATTTTAAACTGAAGATCTCGTATAACGCTGTGTACTACTCCCTTCACAGAACAGCACAAACTGGCTCTAACCAGAATAGAAAGAAGAGTGGGAGGCACCGGCCCCGGTGCACAACTGAGCAAGAGGACAAATACATTAGTGTCTAGTTTGAGAAACAGGCGCCTCACAGGTCCTCAACTTGCAGCTTCATTAAATAGTACTCGCAAAACACCAGTCTCAACGTCAACAGTGAAGAGGGAGAAGAAAAAGCCATATCTCAGACTGGCCAATAAAAATAAAAGATTAAGATGGGCAATCTGAGATATGTATTTTTCTTTGCAACTCAGCCTAGAAGGTCAGCATCCCGGAGTCGCCTCTTCACTGTTGACGTTGAGACTGGTTTCTCAAACTAGACACTAATGTATTTGTCCTCTTGCTCAGTTGTGCACCGGGGCCTCCCACTCCTCTTTCTTTTCTGGTTAGAGCCAGTTTGCGCTGTTCTGTGAAGGGAGTAGTACACAGCGTTGTACGAGATCTTCAGTTTCTTGGCAATTTCTCGCATGGAATAGCCTTCATTTTCTCAGAACAAGAATAGACCTGCGAGTTTCAGAAGAAAGTTATTTGTTTCTGGCCATTTTGAGCCTGTAATCAAACCCACAATTGCTGATGCTCCAGATACTCAACTAGTCTCAAGAAGGCCAGTTTTATTGCTTCTTTAATCAGCACAACAGTTTTCAGCTGTGCTGACATAATTGCAAAAGGGTTTTCTAATGATCAATTAGCCTTTTAAAATGATAAACTTGGATTAGCAAACACAACGTGCCATTGGAACACAGGACTGATGGTTGCTGATAATGGGCCTCTGTACGCCTATGTAGACATTCCATTAAAAATCAGCCGTTTCCAGCTACAATAGCCATTTACAACATTAACAATGTCTACACTGTATTTCTGATCAATTTGATGTTATTTTAATGGACAAGAAAAATGCTTTTCTTTCGAAAACAAGGACATTTCTAAGTGACCTCAAACATTTGAACGGTAGTGTAAGTATTCAGACCCTTTACTCAGTACTTTCGTGAAGCACCTTTGGCAGCGATTACAGCCTTGTGTCTTCTTGGGTAGGACGTTACAAGCTTGGCACACCTGTATTTTGGGAGTGGGATAGTGTGTGTTCACAGCGTGACCTCTGACCTCTTTCAGGGATAATCTGTTGAATGCACATGGCGGGCGGCAGCCGGGGAAACCCCTGGCAGGGCTCAGAATACTGGACGTAGGCTGTGGAGGGGGGCTGCTCACTGAGGTAAAACGTGTGTCTTGTCTTTTTGTGTGTGTGTGTGTATGAATGAGATAGATATGCAGTCTGATGCTGCTGTGGACAACAGACTCCTATCCCTATACGCCTGCTTGGAAATTCCAATTGTTTGAATTGCAAGCTATCAAATCAGATTGAGCTTCACTTTGAATGTAGCCCGTACAGTACAATTCTGCTTGTGATGCAAGCCTTTTCCTTGCTCTACTTGCTCTACCAGTTGCTAATAATATGTTTAAATGTCAACTACATTCATATTCTTTCTCAGTTTGACTGGTCAGGGTTTGGTGGAAAGGACAGTTTGTTGTTTATGTGTTTGTTAGTTTTTGATAACTTCACATCTGCAAACGATTGCATTTGTTTCCTTGCTCTTATTTGAAGTGAACACATACCAGCAGTTCTGTTTTATTTGAGGAGACAACTTCAGGTCTGATATAGCTCTTTATCACACACTAACACACAAGCTATTACACACACACACACACACAGACAGAGAGAGAAACAGACACACACACAGTCTATGTTAGACTTTGGAATGTATGAGTCCGTCTCAGAGAATCGCGTCGTTAGGGAAGTTCCCTTCAGAAGAGATCAGCTGTGGAAGGATGGAGATTGGCTGCGGGCGAGCAGGCAGCATGACGCTGTAAACACACGTGCCACGCCGTACACACATTTAGCCAGAAGGGGGCACTGCCTCTCTCTCCCTCTCTACCTTCCTTCCAGCACTTCACTCACCAAATAGACTGTTAGTGTTCTTTCAAGGGTCAGGTATTCGTCATTCTATTCTAGAATCCATATGTATAAACTCTCTCACTTTCGCTCTCTTTTGTGGCTTCCATCACGGTACTCTATAGACTGACAGTGTTCTTTCAAGGGCCAAGTATTCATCATTTTATTCTGGAATCCATGATAATCCAATTACAGTGCCTTCAGAAAGTATTCACACCCCTTGAGTTTTTCAACATTTTGTTGGGTACAGCATGAATTTAAAATGGATTAAATTGAGATTGTGTGTCACTGATCTACACACAATACCTCATAATGATTTGTTTTGGTAATTTTTTTAAAAACAAATGTATTAAAAATGAAAAGTTGAAACGTCTTGAGTCAATAAGTATTCAACCCCTTTGTTATGGCAAATCTAAATAAGTACAGGAGTAAAAATGTGCATAACAAGTCACATAAGTTGCATGGACTCACTCTGTGTGCAATAATAGTGGTTAACATGATTTTTGAATGACTACCCCATCTCTGTATCCCCACACGTACAGTTATCTGTAAGGTCCCTCAGTCGAGAAGTGAATTTCAAGCACAGATTCAACCACAAAGACCAGGGAGGAATTTCCAATACCTCACAAAGAAGGGCACCTATTGGTAGATGGCTGTAATTTAAAAAAGCAGACACTGAATATCCCTTTGAGCATGGTGAAGTTATGAATTGCATTTTGGATGGTGTATCAATACACCCAGTCACTACAAATATACAGGTTTCCTTTCTAACTCAGTTGCCTGAGAGGAAGGAAACCGCTCAGGGATTTCACCATGAGGCCAATGGGGATTTTAAAACAGATTACAGAGTTTAATGGCTGTGATAGGTGAAAACTGAGGATGGATCAACAACATTGTAGTTACTCCACAATACTAACCTCAATGACAGAGTGAAATGATGGAAGCCTGTACAGAATAAAAATATTCCAAAACATGCATCCTGTTTGAAATAAGGCAATAAAGTACTGCTAAAAATACTGTAAAAAATGTGGCAAAGAAATTAACTTTTTGTCCTGAATACAAGGCGTTATGTTTGGGGCAAACACAACACATCACGGAGTACCACTCTTCATATTTTCAAGCATGGTAGTCGCTGCATCATGTTATGGGTATGCTTGTCATCGGCAAGGACTAGGGAGTTATTTAGGATAAAAATAAATGGAATAGAGCTAAGCACAGGCAAAATCCTAGAGGAAAATCCTGGTTCAGTCTGCTTTACACCAGACACTGGGAGACAAATGTACCTTTCAGCAGGACCATAACCTAAAACACAAGGCAAAATATTAACTGGAGTTGCTTACCAAGACAACATAGAATTTTCCTGTGTGGCCTAGTTACAGTTTTGACTTAAATCGGCTTGAAAATCTATTGCAAGACATGAAAATCGCTGTCTAGCAATGATCAACAACCAACTTCACAGAGCTTGAATCATTTTAAAAAGAATGTGCAATATTGTACAATCCAGGTATGCAAATCTCCTAAAGACTTTACCCAAAAACACTCACAGCTGTAATCTCTGCCAAAGGTGATTCTAATTGATCTAATCAAGATATATTAGTGTTTTACTTTTAATAATAAAAAAAAAATGTATTGTAGAATTCTTCTTCCACTTTGACATTACAGAGTATTGTGTGTAGGGATCATTGACAAAATGTGCCCATTAAATCCATTTTAATCCCACTTTGTAAGATAACATAAAATGTGTAAAAAGTCAAGGGGTGTGAATACTTTCTGAAGGCACTGTATGTATAAACTCACTTCCTCCTCCCTCCCTCTTCCTTAACCCTCCCTCCTTCTTCCTCTACCCTCCATCCCGCCCTCTCTCCCAACCTCCCAGCCCTTGGGTAGACTGGGGGCAGATGTGCTGGGTATTGACCCGGTGGCAGACAGTATTGGGACAGCGGAGGTACATGCGTGGCATGATCCAGACCTGCGTGGCAACGTGCGCTACCGCGCTATCACCCTGGAGGAGCTCTCTGAAAAGGGGGGGCAGGGAGCGGGGCAGTTTGATGCCGTGGTGGCCTCGGAGGTGGTGGAACATCTGGCCGACCTGGAAACCTTCACGCTCTGCTGCAACCAGGTGCTCAAGGTGGGTCATGTGACTCGTCTCACATTCCACACACTCGCGTGTGATGTGGTCATGTGACTGTTCTCTCTGATTGTTGAGTGGATCAGTCGCTTCATTGAGTTAACCATGTACCAGGTGGTGTGTGTCAGCACATAAGTGTGTGACCGTGTGTATGAACGTGCGTGTGTGTGTGTGTGTGTTATGGATCAGTGTGTCGGAGGACAAATGAGTTGAGAGAGAGAGCCCAAATCTTCCTAATCTCCTCTAATACTATTGCATCCAGATTCTCACTCTCTCTGGCCCAAATCTCTCACCCGCTCTTTTAACACTGACCATCAGAAATATAATTTGTTCTGTACAATGTCATGTTTAAAATAGCTTTATTGGTTGAGAAGTAAACCAGCTCTCATCTCTCCTTGTTACAGTTGTGTGTACAGTCTCTGATGTGTTAGATGAAGCATTCAAAGCCTGTCTCCTTTACCTGATCTTTCAGTTGTTTTTGTTCTATTGAAGTCTTATCTATCAGAGTTGTCGCTGCCTCTCAATTGACAACAATAGTGCCATTCATTAGGGTACACAACGAAAAACATTTTGCAACAGAAAATGAGCATTTCTTATTGGACCAGGTACCAGTCCAGGTAGTCTCTCCTGGTTTGTTTTCTTCTGTTTGGTGCTTAATGAACACAACCCTGGGTTGTAACGGTCTCCCTCCTGTGTGCAGCCAGGAGGCTCTCTCTTCATCACCACCATCAACAAGACCCAGCTGTCGTACGCCCTGGCCATCGTGGCAGCAGAGGAGGTGCTGCGCATCGTGCCCAGCGGGACCCATGACTGGAACAAGTTTGTCAGCCCCGTGGAGCTGGAGTGCCTGCTAGAGTCCAGTGAGTCAGCCTGCTCTTCATCCAAATGCTGCTGCTCCTCTTCCTCACTCTCCTCCTAGCTCTTTCTACTGTCCCTTTGGACTCTTACTATTGTGCTGGTGCCTCTTTTTGAATGCATACTGGTGTCTTTGTTTGGCTCAGTCTCATTCTTTCGTTATCACTTTCCAATAGGAGGTTGTGTGTGACCGTCTGTCTCTATCGCTCTCTGTCTTTTCAATTGTCCCATTCTCTTATTTCTCATCCTCTCTTTCTCACCCATTCTCTCTCTATTTCTCTCTGACCCATTCCTCTCTATCTCTACTCCATCCCAGATGGTTTCCATGTGGAGTCTATCCGAGGGATGCTGTATAACCCTCTGTCAGGGGCCTGGAGCTGGATAGAGAGCACCAGCATCAACTACGCCTTGCACGCGGTCAAACTCGAGGAGGAACCGAACCCCGACGAGGACGACCCCGAAGACCCCACCGTGATAGTGGCCCAAGCTAAGGCCAGACGCTGGTACAACTGACTTGACCATGGGAGATGGAGAGAGAGTGGTCATAAGTGGTCAGCTGCAGCACAGATCCTCTGGATCTCTAAAGGGACTGAAGGGAAAGGCAATGGACCTGAAAAACACAAAGTCTATGAGAAAGTTACATAGTTCAGAGCTTGATACAAGTATATGATGGTGTTTTCTTTCAGCCAGGCCATGATTATTCTGTGAGTTCACAGCATAATGAGTCCCCCTGAATTGCGTGAACTGTTTAACCTTTCGAGGCTTGTCATTACAATGTCATATGTTATGGTAGAAGTGTTCATCACTGTGATTGACATCTCAGGTCTCTGATTTACTATTGAGCAAGATGTTTTACTTCAAATACAGTCATAATGTGTCTGTTCATCAAAATCCATCATGTGGATATTGTTTATATCTTGACATGCTTATCATATCCTCCATTAGGAAATGAAATCGTTTTCTTTACGATTCTCTGATCTGATGATTATTGCTCTCTAGTGTCATTTCAACAGTGTGAAGATCTAGTCCAAATCAGTGATGTGATGTTTCAGTTGTGAATAAGTCCTGTGTTGAAATTCAGGATCTGAGTAGAGGGCTCTTTATATTAGAAAATTCTTTAAATTTTCTGTCCACATATTTTCTGCTAATCCATGAAATATGGGAGGGGGAGATCAGGCTCCTTCAGCCTTCTCTCTCTTGTTTGCTCTCTGTAGCCATGGTGACTTTTAGATAATAATTGGCTTCTTGCTGAACTATTACATAAGACCCAAACAAGCCTCCAACTAAACTAAATCATGCTTGGAAGTTATTCTTCAAAACAGACACAATCATTGGCTGGATGTTTCAAGAAGTACAGTCACAGTAGTGTATTTGATCCTCCACAGATAGACTTAGTGTTTCTGTTATATATTTTTCCATTTGTATTTTTCCATTTGCCCTTCTTATATGTAGACAACGCCCAGGACAGTGTGCTGGAATGCAAAAGAGGTACATGTTTTTTTTCCTCATGACACAAATGTTATTCAAGTCACATGCCCAACTGGCTTCTAACAAGTTGCATTTAAAAGCTGTTCATTGTATGTCCAAACTATTGATTGTGGGTCGATGTAGGCTATAGTACAGTCCAGGGATGGTTTTCCGTCTCATACCTAAGCAGCCTAAGATTGCTCTGCCATAAATTTAGCAGACCAGGTTTGAACAGGATGAACATGTACAACTGGTCCAATACAGTGTAGTCTACCGCCAGTGATATGAGCGCTCGCCCACGAAGCCGATGAAGTGCGCACGCTTCTTGCAGTATGGCTGCGCAGTAAGGATTTTGGATGTATAGGCCTTCTAATGGAATATATCTATTTCAATATTTAAAGAAAAAGTTAATCTACACAAAGCTATAATAAACGGATTATTGAATACGATTTCAGAACGACTATGAATCGGTTTGAAAAGCATTTATTATGAGGTGCGATGCTGATTTCAAACAGAACCGGTTTGGGAAAAGCACAGCGCACGGATGCAGGCGGCACTTGGTTGGCACCAATGATTTATATATACACTAGATGACTGATAGGGGGCGCTGTGTTGAAATGCACCATGCCTCCATCTAGGCACTATTTTGGAAGCTATAGAAATGTATTTATTAATGTCTACATTAGTGTTTGCCACGGTTATTCTATTACAGACACCTTAATGCATACTTTTCAATAATATTATGTGAGCTAAACATAAAAATAAAACAAATCTTTTCTTTCAAGTATAATTTTTAGAGATTACTAATGTTACTGTCCCCACTACAACAACAAAAATACTTAAATACATGTAATTGTGTTCTTAACATTCAATTGAAAGACTGTAGAATTCCATTCATTCATATGGAGGACTGCTCCTACTGGGGTGTGCCAATATGCCCGATCGGAGGCTTCAAAGCCTATCAATTGCCAATACATATCATCAGCAATCCAGGGTTTATATACACTGCTCAAAAAAATAAAGGGAACACTTAAACAACACATCCTAGATCTGAATGAATGAAATAATCTTATTAAATACTTTTTTCTTTACATAGTTGAATGTGCTGACAACAAAATCACACAAAAATTATCAATGGAAATCAAATTTATCAACCCATGGAGGTCTGGATTTGGAGTCACCCTCAAAATTAAAGTGGAAAACCACACTACAGGCTGATCCAACTTTGATGTAATGTCCTTAAAACAAGTCAAAATGAGGCTCAGTAGTGTGTGTGGCCTCCACGTGCCTGTATGACCGCCCTACAACGCCTGGGCATGCTCCTGATGAGGTGGCGGATGGTCTCCTGAGGGATCTCCTCCCAGACCTGGACTAAAGCATCCGCCAACTCCTGGACAGCCTGTGGTGCAACGTGACGTTGGTGGATGGAGCGAGGCATGATGTCCCAGATGTGCTCAATTGGATTCAGGTCTGGGGAATGGGCGGGCCAGTCCATAGCATCAATGCCTTCCTCTTGCAGGAACTGCTGACACACTCCAGCCACATGAGGTCTAGCATTGTCTTGCATTAGGAGGAACCCAGGGCCAACCGCACCAGCATATGGTCTCACAAGGGGTCTGAGGATCTCATCTCGGTACCTAATGGCAGTCAGGCTACCTCTGGCGAGGACATGGAGGGCTGTGCGGCCCCCCAAAGAAATGCCACCCCACACCATGACTGACCCACCGCCAAACCGGTCATGCTGGAGGATGTTGCAGGCAGCAGAACGTTCTCCACGGCGTCTTCAGACTCTGTCACGTCTGTCACGTGCTCTGTGTGAACCTGCTTTCATCTGTGAAGAGCACAGGGCGCCAGTGGTGAATTTGCCAATCTTGGTGTTCTCTGGCAAATGCCAAACATCCTGCACGGTGTTGGGCTGTAAGCACAACCCCCACCTGTGGACGTCGGGCCCTCATACCACCCTCATGGAGTCTGTTTCTGACCGTTTGAGCAGACACATGCACATTTGTGGCCTGCTGGAGGTCATTTTGCAGGGCTCTGGCAGTGCTCCTCCTGCTCCTCCTTGCACAAAGGCGGAGGTAGCGGTCCTGCTGCTGGGTTGTTGCCCTCCTACGGCCTCCTCCACGTCTCCTGATGTACTGGCCTGTCTCCTGGTAGCGCCTCCATGCTCTGGACACTACGCTGACAGTCACAGCAAACCTTCTTGCCACAGCTCGCATTGATGTGCCATCCTGGATGAGCTGCTTCCTAAGTGGATAGTTTGATTTCACAGAAGTGTGATTGACTTGGAGTTACATTGTGCTGTTTAAGTGTTCCCTTTATTTTTGTTGAGCAGTGTACATCATTGGTTGGCACTAGCTCAGACTCTGAGGGGTACCAGTGATGTAACTGACCTTACATTATAGAATTCTTACGAAAGCGCGATCCGTTTTTCAAGCAAAGTTGTTTCGCAAACAATCACAACGGAAAGCGCATTGATCGGGTGTATTTTGGAAGATGAATGCCTTTTTACACTTCCGAAGTTACTGCAGAGTGAGTATAACCGACTATAGCTAAAGTAGCCAAAAGCATGCACCTGTGTGGGGATCTAGATGTGATGACTAGCTTACTAAACCACGCTCAGTCTCTACTCTGATTGGCCAGCAGGGAGCGGGAACTATCTCTGTCAGAGTATTTTAAGAAGAACTCATAACAATGGCTTAGTTCTCTGAGTGCCCTGCGTGGTATTTCAGTGGACCCCTATATACGAACATCATATTTACCATTGAAGTGGTTTGCATTAATTAAAATACTAGTCTATTTTAGAAGACGTGTATTGACCTCTTTTGTTCCTAATACCAGATTTGAATTGACGCAACTTAACACCTGCTATGCAAGCATATTGTTGTTGAACATGCACCAGTCGTTATACCAATCGAAGAGTCTGTTCTGCATTCAATAATGGCTAAATACTAAGCCTACTGTATATATATATATATATATATATATTGGTCCATGCAAATACAGTTGGACAAGTAAATGTTGCTATGGAGATATTGCAGGACTTTGTAAAAGAGATAATAGTGAAATTGCCCATATTTTTTTATTTTTTTTATTTCACCTTTATTTAACCAGGTAAACCAGTTGAGAACAAGTTCTCATTTACAACTGCGACCTGGCCAAGATAAAGCATAGCAGTGCGATACAAACAAAACACAGTTACATATGGGGTAAAACAAAACAAAGTCAAAAATACAACAGAAATACATATAATATACAGTGTGCAAATTTAGCAAGTTATGGAGGTAGGCAATAAAATAGGCTATAGTGCAAAATAATTACAATTAGTATTAACACTGGAATGATAGATGTGCAAGAGATGATGTGCAAATAGAGATACTGGGGTACAAATGAGCAAAATAGATAACAATATAGGGATGAGGTAGTTGGGCGGGCTAATTTCAGATGGGCTGTGTACAGGTGCAGTGATCGGTAAGGTGCTCTGACAACTGATGCTTAAAGTTAGTGAGGGAGATAAGTGTCTCCAGCTTCAGAGATTTTTGCAATTTGTTCCAGTCATTGGCAGCAGAGAACTGGAAGGAATTGCGGCCAAAGGAGGTGTTGGCTTTGGGGATGACCAGTGAGATATACCCGCTGGAGCGCAGACTACGGGTGGGTGTTGCTATGGTGACCAATGAGCTAAGATAAGGCGGGGATTTGCCTAGCAGTGATTTATAGATGGCCTGGAGCCAGTGGGTTTGTCGACGAATATGTAGTGAGGACCAGCCAACAAGAGCGTACAGGTCACAGTGGTGGGTATTATATGGGGCTTTGGAGACAAAACGGATGGCACTGTGATAGACTACATCCAATTTGCTGAGTAGAGTGTTGGAGGCTATTTTGTAAATGACATCGCCGAAGTCAAGGATCGGTAGGATAGTCAGTTTTACGAGGGCATGTTTGGCAGCATGAGTGAAGGAGGCTTTGTTGCGAAATAGGAAACCGATTCTAGATTTAACTTTGGATTGGAGATTCTTAATGTGAGTCTGGAAGGAGAGTTTACAGTCTAACCAGACACCTAGATATTTGTAGTTGTCCACATACTCTAGGTCAGACCCGTCGAGAGTAGTGATTCTAGTCGGGTGGGCGGGTGCAAGCAGCGTTCGGTTGAAGAGCATGCATTTAGTTTTACTAGTGTTTAAGAGCAGTTGGAGGCTACTGAAGGAGTGTTGTATGGAATTGAAGCTCGTTTGGAGGTTTGTTAACACAGTGTCCAATGAAGGGCCAGATGTATACAAAATGGTGTCGTCTGCGTAGAGGTGGATCTGAGAGTCACCAGCAGCAAGAGCGACGTCATTGATATACACAGAGAAAAGAGTCGGCCCAAGAATTGAACCCTGTGGCACCCCCATAGAGACTGCCATAGGTCCAGACAACAGGCCCTCCGATTTGACACATTGAACTCTATCTGAGAAGTAGTTGGTGAACCAGGCGAGGCAGTCATTTGAGAAACCAAGGCTATTTAGTCTGCCAATAAGAATGCGGTGGTTGACAGAGTCGAAAGCCTTGGCCAGGTCAATGAAAACGGCTGCACAGTACTGTCTATTATCGATCGCGGTTATAATATCGTTTAGGACCTTGAGCGTGGCTGAAGTGCACCCATGACCAGCTCGGAAACCGGATTGCATAGCGGAGAAGGTACGGTGGGATTCGAAATGGTCGGTGATCTGTTTGTTGACATGGCTTTCAAAAACTTTTGAAAGGCAGGGCAGGATGGATATGGGTCTGTAACAGTTTGGATCTAGAGTGTCACCCCCTTTGAAGAGGGGGATGACCGCGGCAGCTTTCCAATCTCTGGGGATCTCAGACGTTACGAAAGAGAGGTTGAACAGGCTAGTAATAGGGGTTGCGACAATTTCGGCGGCTAGTTTTAGAAAGAAAGGGTCCAGATTGTCTAGCCCAGATGATTTGTAGGGGTCCAGATTTTGCAGCTCTTTTAGAACATCAGCTGTCTGGATTTGTGTGAAGGAGAAGCGGTGGGGGCATGGGCAAGTTGCAGCGGAGGGTGCAGAGCTGGTGGCCGGGGTAGTGGTAGCCAGGTGGAAAGCATGGCCAGCCGTAGCAAAATGCTTGTTGAAATTCTCGATTATTGTAGATTTATCGGTGGTGATAGTGTTTCCTAGCCTCAGTGCAGTGGGCAGTTGGGAGGAATATAACATTGAATATAACATTGCTCCAAGAAAACAACATAGTTGCTTAATCCATTTAATTGGCATTTAGAAATCAATATACTAATTAATAAGGCCTGGCCTATTGCCCTATATTAAAGCCTTTGCTGTTTTAATTAAAATAAACTATTTCTAATCATAAACCCAAACTACCCCAATCAACTTGTGTGATGGTTTTGTTGTCACTGAGGCTCAGATGTTAGGGGAGTGCTCATCGTCTGCCACCAGTTTTGCCGCGGTGACGTCACTCATTTCCATTGGAACAGACAAAGGCTCCGAGGGCTGGCGGAGGATGCCGAGCTGGGGTGCGGGCACCATCAGCCCGGAAGATGTCTATTTCTCCTGTTTGGCAGATGAAATAGCATATCGCCATGCAGCATAGGACTGTTGTGACATATTGATGAAGCCGAGAGTGGTTTGCGGGACGCAGGCGCCACGCGGTGATTGAGAGAGCATGTGGGGTGCTGGTTTCGCCTCGTCCCGACCGTGTGTGGTTGAACTCGGGCGGAATCACAGCCTGCCCTTGGGGCTATGTGGCTCGGACGAGCCTCACTCTCTTTATGGCTATATCGTCGCAATCCCTTTACAGGATTACGGTGGGATCATGTCGGGATTGGGGTCGGATTCCTGGTGGAAGAAGACCCTCTATATCACCGGTGGTGCCCTCCTCGCCGCTGCTGCCTACCTATTACACGAGCTGCTCGCCATCAGGTAGGCTACAATGGCAAAAATATGCTACGATGACACAATCTGCAAGGGTATTGCTTCACATGATGAAATGTGTGTATCTGTGTGATGTTTAGGCTGTGTTTGCGTAGGCCTAATCTACAATATTCACAATAATGATCAGAAATTATAAAATCATTCACACCCTGGGGGATGTGCTGGGGGTGTGTGGCTGGTGGTGCGCACTTACTGTCACCTCTGAACAGCTGCTCTTGACAGATCTTTGAAAAACAGAATATTGCTATCGTTTGTTTACATTTCTTCACATATTCGCGGAATCATCTCTTCCTGCACTGTAGACTAGACTGTGCAGCTGTTTTATGATACAGTTCCCCGCAAGGAGGCAAGGACAGAAGATGGAAAAATATTGGAATGTGGAAAATCACGCGTCAGGTCTTGTGCAATGTCTCGTGCCAGCCACAAGCCACTTGAGAGTAAATATGCATTTCTCTAGCGCTGCAGCAGTTGTGTCAGAATTACCTTTACTAACCTCTTACGTGAGCTATTTTAAGATTTATGTTTAGTGAAAGCGGACGTTTGTAGCCTACTGTTGAATGAAATGCGTCTGGTTTAATCTTTGAGAGGGAAGATTAATCCAGGCCTATTGTTAATGTAATGAATGGCGCTCCTGTCCCCACACAATCGTCAATCAAGGATTTAGGCCTATGGTACATTCTGTAACAGTGGCTCCATATAATCTGTCACACACTCTGAGAGGACTGGCTTTGCATTTCCCAATTTGGAAACATTGCTGTATCACGTTGCATACGCTTACCATCGTCATGCTTCTACCATAGAAAACTACATTTTGACAGTAAATCTGCAGTGTGTTGTTCTATGCCACCCCTTTGAGTGCTTCTTCTCAAAGGAACTCCCTGTATCTAGGCCTAAATACAATAGTGTTTCTATTACATGGTCCAGAATTTCAGCACCATTGAAAAATGGACTTCGACGTAGCCTACGTTGTTTCGACGGTTTCAGCACCACGGTTCTATGGACAGCGACATTTTGTGGGAATGTGAGTTGTTTATTGTCGTGGACTGTCCTGCGCAAGACCATTGTACCGAAAACCTAGCCTATACATTTTATTAGCCAAAGTAGGCTATCATTGATATACATGCCATATTTATTTCCATACATTTAAGTAGAATTTCAAGGTGTTACAAAATGTCTGATGTAACTGACTTTGGATGGATTCCATTCCTGCTCTATGGACATGATATGTAGGCTATAATTCATAAAATTAACTTCGGTAAGAACTAGAGTAATTGCAAGGCAGCACACCCCTGTACTGTAGGCTATGTTTAATTATTAAAGCCAAAAGATATGTCAGTGTCAGTCACCCACACCCACCATTTAAAAACTGTGGGGTGGAAATGTGAGGACTCTATCAGCTTTTCACAAGCGTGATTAGCCTCATAGGCCTTGATTTCAAGGGTGGTAGAGGATTGAAATGGAAGTTCAGACAAATCCTAGAGTTTCTTCTGCTGTAGGCCCATTGAATACCATGGAGTCAGTAATATGATGATGAGTTTACCCTCTCAATATCTATCTCATTATCTTAAATGTGTGTATTGCATCTGTGTATATAGTGTTGAGACTGGTGACTTAAATATAGTGAGGGAACAGGTTGTTCTAGGGCAATTCAACGATAACAGAATTACGCTTTGACTCAGATATTTCACTTTAAAATGTATGCCAACAAAAAACATTGATTTCAAAGTTTAACAAACCATACAACCCTATGCACAAGGACTACTTTGAACAATTTACACAGAACATTTCACAAAAAAACACATTTACTGGAAGAACTGTGCAGATGCAAAGTTTGGTAACAGAAACATTTCCCTCAGTTTTTTATGCGACCACGTTTTCCAAAAACGGTTAAATATCTGCTCAGAATTAAGATAAAAAAATGTCTGCAGAAAAATGGGGTGTCAGCTATGACATGACACCTTGAGTTAGAATTGTTTTGTTTGTTATTGAACTACAGTAGGTGAAGTGGATTTACATCTGGTAATAGAATTACGGTAACGGAATTACATCATGGGTCCATGATCTGTACCATACAAAAATCGATAATTATGGATATGAATATCATTATCTTCATGGTGATGTATCCTGAATAGGCAAACAAATTTAGAAATATGCAATATATTTTTGCATATTTGGGTATTATTCTACACACTGGTTATTATTGTAATGAGCTCCGTCCTCAAACAAGACCACATTTGGTTGGTCCAGACCAGACCAAATCTGAAACAATCATAGACGTCTATGTTTCACAAGTTTGGACATCAGAGTGGAGCACAGCACAACAGAGTTCAGCACAGTACTCTAGTGTGCTCTACTGTACCGTACTCCACTTTACTGTACTATTCTGTACTCTACCGTTCTCTACTGTGCTCTACTGTACTGTACTATACTGTACTGTGCTGTCCAAACTTGTGAAACATAGACATCTTTGATTGGTTCAGATTTGGTCCGGTCAGGGCCAACTACTTTTCAACGTCCGGTGTCAGTCGGTGCTCAGTGGGTGAGGATGCTTGTTACAGTAAATGGAAAGAGGGTAGGTGGTAGGTGTCAGTAAGAGCCGGGAGACGTAACATTAACTGGCGAGAGAAAAAATAGAGAGAGAGCGGCAGAGAGAGAGGGAGGGGATGTCCAGACTGTTTTCACAGTCTTGCTTTGACCTGAGAGACTGTATATAATGACAAGATGGTCTTGTCTCCGCCCTAACAATGGGAGTCGTTGTCCCAAAGGCGGGAAGGCAGGCAGTCTGCTTATCGTTCTGCTTATCGGTCTGCTTATCGTGGACAGATTTTGATTGAGGAAACCCTCTCGCTTTGCCTCTTCCTCTCTGATTTGACCACCAGATGACAGAAAGGGAAAAACACAGTTATGAGCTGAACATAACAGTATGCCAGTGGAAGGGAGGACAGTAGCAGGTGACCCAAGTGTGGTTTGTGACTAGTATGATTTCCCATTGTAGCCAATTCAATTGCAGTAATTCCATTACTGATTTTGCAGTAATTCCGTTACCGATTTGGTAACAGAATTACGAGTTTTAATTACTTAATAATTAATAAACAAACTTGATATCAGTAAAAACACTATAACTACCTTTACTTATTACTTCTGTGAAATGTCATTATCCTCCCTCATGATGGAGAGAAATTAGGAAACATCTTAAAGATATGTGGGTTTTTGGTAACAGAATGTATATTTGCCTTAATTTCTCAAAAATATAGACTCTTTGCTTTCATTTGACACAATTTGACATGCTTCTATGAACTTCACATGTTGATGCTCATCGGCCCTTTTAAATGGAAATGCCCTCTGTAACACAGAGCAAAGGGAATAGTAGAATAGTTCCTCTCGCTGCTGTGTCACCATGCTATAATAGGCACCAGGTGAGACCCTCCCCTCCCAGTGAGATTACTAAGAGCCTGAAACAGAGCTGCAACTAATCCTACTCTCTCCTATCTGATCTCCTCCAATCAGGGCGAGTTATGACATTGTTCTCACATCACAAACTGACCTGGAAATAGCTGTACTGTTGTCACAGAAACTTTGATGACTTTTAAAGTGGCTGTCACATAGAGATAAAACAATTGTTTTCAAGTGTTATATCTCATGGGGCTCCCACCTGTGTATTTTGAAGTTGCCTCAGTATAGCATACCTTTTCAGATGGCCTTTTTTCTCCCCGGGTGTTTTCCAGGAAGGAGCAGGAGTTGGACTCTAAAGATGCCATCATCCTCCACCAGTTCTCCAGGCCAAACACGGGGGTCCCCAGCCTCTCACCATTCTGCCTCAAGATGGAGACCTACCTACGCATGGTGGACCTGCCCTACCAGGTACAATAGTCTGTGTAAGATAAAGTATAACTTTTAAAAAGTAGAACTGGTTTCCTGTACACAGATTAAGCCTACATTCCTGGACTAAAAAGCACTTTAAATGGAAATTCTCAGTCTGGGAAACCAGTCCTACATATTCAGATACAACTAGAGTGCGTTTTATGATGATTTCCTCGGGTATCAAGTAATTCATGATGCAAGAAGATATTTAACACTTAGATGGAGAGTTCGTTCAAGTATTTAATAGGTACCGTGGTTCACATAACAAAAAGACATGTCCTTCGCCTCTTGCCATTCGAACTAACTGAACAAAGAAAACCTCTCAGTTTATATACCTCATGTGACACATTTCTTGAACAACATCTGTTAACCATCATTTGGCACTCCCTTCTTTGATGGTATTACCCTGTACCCAAGTCAGTATATTACTATCTATCAATCATTCTAAGATAAACCACCAGTAAGCTCCCTTGACATAATGGAATCCTTGTTATTCAGACTGTGCGGCGCCAAGTCACTTATCTACTAAATCTACCTTGTTCTATGACACTGTGAAATGACATCATAACAGTGTGTCAATCTCCCAGTGCTGAATCCCATTCTGTTCTCCCTCTTGCAGAACTACTTTGATGGGAAGCTCTCTCCGCAGGGCAAGATGCCATGGATTGAGTATAACCGGCAGCAGGTGTCGGGGTCAGAGTTCATCATTGACTTCCTGGAAGAGAAGCTGGGCGTCAACCTCAACAAGAACCTCAGTCCCCAGGAGAGAGCCGTGTCCCGGGCTGTCACCAAGATGGTGGAGGAGCACCTCTACTGGTGACTCAGTCAATTAATATACCCACAGCTACATTGGTGACTCCGTATATGTCACAGCCGGTCCCAAATTGCACCCTACCCTCCCCCTTGGTCCTTAACCCTTGATGTTAGCATGTCTGAAGAGTCTAGATAGGTACACTATATATACAAATTAGTGGAATTCAGCTATTTCATTCATCCCCGTTGCTGACAGGTGTATAAAATCGAGCACACAACCATGCAATCTCCACAGACAAACATTGGCAGTAGAATGGCCTTACTGAAGAGCTCAGTGAATTGCAATGTGGCACCGTCATAGGATGCCACCTTTCCAACAAGTCAGTTCATCAAATTTCTGCCTGGCTAGAGCTTCCCCGGTCAACTGTAAGTGCTGTTATTGTGTAGTGGAAACGTCTAGGAGCAACAATGGCTCAGCCGCGAAGCGGTAGGCCACACAAGCTCACAGAACGGGATCGCCGAGAGCTGAATCGTCTGTCCTCGGTTGTAACACTCACTACCGAGTTCCAAACTGCCTCTGAAAACACCGTCAGCACATGAACTGTTCGTCAGAAGCTTCATAAAAAGGGTTTACATGGCCGAGCAGCCGCACACAAGATCACCATGCGCAATGCAAAGCGTCGGCTGGAGTGGTGTAAAGCTCGCCGCCATTGGACTCTGGAGCAGTGGAAATCCGTTCTCTGGAGAGATTAATCACACTTCACCATCTGGCAGTCCGACGGACAAATCTGGGTTTGGCGGATGCCAGGAGAACGCTACCTGCCCCAATGCATAGTGCCAACTGTAAAGTATGGTGGAGGAGGAATAATGGTCTGGGGCTGTTTTTCATAGTTCGGGCTAGGCCCCTTATTTCCAGTGAAGAGAAATATTAATGCTATACAGCATACAATGACATTCTAGACGATTCTGTGCTTCCAACTTTCAGCATGACAATGCCCCGTGCACAAAGCGAGGACCATACAGAAATGGTTTGCCGAGATCAGTGTGGAAGAACTTGACTGGCCTGCACAGAGCCCTGACCTCAACCCCATCAAACACCTTTGGGATGAATTGGAACGCCAACTGCGAGCCAGGCCTAATCGCCCAACATCAGTGCCTAACCTCACTAATGCTCTTGTGGCTGAATGGAAGCAAGTCCCCGCAGCAATGTTCTAACATCTAGTGGAAAGCCTTCCCAGAAGAGTGAAGGCTGTTATAGCAGCAAAGGGGGGACCAAACTCCACATTTAATGGCCATTATCTTGGAATGAGATGTTCGACGAGCAGGTGTCCACATACCTTTGGTCATGTAGGGTATAAGCAGTGTAGTGGTAAAGTTTCCACCATATTGCTTCCACCTTACAGATCTGCAAAGATTGAAGGGTTAGGGCCAAGGGGAGGGGTAGGGAATTAATTTTAACCGGCTAAGGTCACTCACTATTCCCAAGTGGTCATCCACAGTTACATTACTGAATAACTTACAGTATATCCACCTCATGTGACGTTACATTATTGGTGAGTCACTGCTGGGCATCTGTTCTGGTGAGGCTTCTGCTGGGAAGTCACTGATGCTGCATTCCAAATGGCACCCTATTCCTGATATAGTGCTCTACTTTGGACCAGGGCCCATAGGGCTCTGGACAAAGTAGTGCACTATGTAAGGAATAGGGTGCCATTTTGGACGCAGGCTGAGCCTTTCCTGGTTGGGCCCCAGGTAGAGGTAGTCAAAGAAAAGAGGAGGGAGTGCATATTTGCTCATCAAGCTCTTTTCTGCAATATTTACAAGGTGAGAAATCAGTCAGCATCACGTTTCTGTGCATCAGATCTTGTGAATCTCATTCAGAACCAGAGCCATGAATTGGAGGGGGGGTGTTCCATAATATTGGTCTGCAGCTATAGAGTAAGGGTCATTCATATAACTCTCATTTCCACTCCCTTTCTCTCGCTCTCTCTCTTTTCTCTCTGTTTTTCTCCTGTCTTCTTTTTCCCCCATCACCACCTCCTCTACTCTCTCTCCTCTTTCCCCCTCCCTCTCGCAGGCTATGTTTAGACTGTTGATTACATGATTTATGGCTGTGCAGGACTATGGGGCTGCTTGTTGCTCTGTTTGGCCAGCTGAGGATAGCAGCATGGGTTACAGCGTGATTGATGTTGCTATGACAACATGGAGATGAAGGCTGCTCTGTGACAGAGATATGCCTCTGGTCTGTGAGATTGTGCGTTTTTTCACAAAGTGCATGTACTGTATATTAGGTTCAATGTCTGGTTTAGTGAAGATTGTCATTTGTCTTCCATCCCTGTTGTGTAGAGCTTGAGTTGTTATAACTAAGGGAATTGTTTAATGGTATTGAAATCCTTTAAATAGTTATGATTTGATCTCAGGTTTGATCTCAGGTTGATCTCAGGTTTGTCTGGTGTAGCCCCTGAAGCAAATTTTCCCTCAGATCCTTTTCTAGACAGCTCAATCTTTTTTTGTCTAGAGAGCTGACTGTTAATCATCACAATACATTCATTACTCTTGTCCTGTTAACTGAAGGTGAAAGATTAATTCAAAATGTCTCTGTGATCTCATGCCACAATTTTTTATAACGAACCCAAGATAGACCACAGCCTGTCGTTTCCAATGGGAACAAATTAGTAATAGTGGGCAGAACAAGCAAGTAGGGGGCAGAGCCAAGCACGAGATAGCAAGATCCTGTTGGCGTGTTCTAGCATGTATTTGCATATTTCCGTTAGGGAACTCCTACTCTGTGAAGTGCGCGTGTGCAATAACTTAATTTGCCCTTGAACTCCTTCTAAACAATGCCATTTTTTTGCATTTTACAGTCCACTCTGTTTGTAATATATTCTAGTTTTGGGAACAGAAAACTCTATTGAGATCAAATGTTTCATCGATGAGAAAATGAACATAATGTCAGCCAAAATCCATCTCACTCAATCTTCTCCCACTGCTGGCTACTGGGCTTACTCTCATCACCATATTTGGTAGTAAGTGGAAACGCTAACGGGATGCTTCACACTTTAACATCATGTGAAGGTGAATTATCTGACTCATTGTTCGATCTGTGGTGGCAGGCTAAGTATCGAATAGACATAAGTTATAGCTCCACCTTGTGACAGGGAGGGGAAGGAACATGGCACTGGTATCAGTCCCTGCTGTTGTCTCAATTACATATGTGCATATAGTACACATATGCACACCCTACTTTGTGTGGACCAGATGGCAAACTCTCTGGAAAGACTTATATAAGGTCTTGTAACCTTCTTCTTCATTTCACTATGTTGTACATCACATTTCCACTAATCAGATATTACATATAATGTAGATTGCATCAAGTAATGCATAGGTGAACCAGTAGGGACAAAGGAGCCCTAAAAGCCAGTGGTGGAAAAAGTACCCAATTAATATACTTGAGTCAAAGTAAAGATACCTTAATAGAAAAGTCACCCAGTAAAATACTACTTGAGGAAAAGTCTAAAAGTATTGGGTTTTAAATATACTTCAATATCAAAAGTAAATGTAAAAGTATAAATCATTTCAAATTCCTTATATTAAGCAAACCAGACGGCACGATTTTCTTGTTTTTTAAATTTACGGATAGCCAGGGGCACACCAACACTTAGACATCATTTACAAATCAAGCATTTGTGTTTAGTGAGTCCACCAGATCAGAGGCAGTTGGGATGACCAGGGATGTTCTCTTGATAAGTGCGTGAATTGGACCATTTTCCTGTCCTGCTAAGCATTCAAAATGTAACAAGTACTTTTGGGTGTCAGGGTAAATGTATGGAGTACCATTCAAGATAGGGAATGTTGTAAAATAATTAGTATTTTACTTTCTATTTATAGCATTTTATAAATAGATAAGACAGCATTAGAAGAAAGGATAATTAGCTAAATAATACATCTTCAAATATAACGAACTGGAACAAAAAAGTACTCAGAATCAACATGGTAGGTATAAAAACACAGCAAACAGAGGACATAGAAGGCACAGTATGTGGGTATGTGCTGGTGTATTGTGATGGAAGGTGGGGTGTGTGTTTTTGTGTTTGGAAAAGTGTGGAGTTAAGTGAGTGAAAAAGGAAAATGATTGTAAATCCCAGAGCCCAAGTGTGTCTGCGAGCAGGGGTTGTGAGCGAGAGCTTTCACACTTTATGATATGGGATATACATGTTTAAATTATAAATATAGTTTATTTATTGTCCTGTCGTGATGGAACTGTTCCCAACCCTATACCCTAGACACCCACCTGAGCGACCCATACACTAAGGAGAAGTCCTTATCTGTTTTATGGGCCTACTTTAAGTAGCCTATACAAAGCCAAAACAGAAAGATAAATGCGGTCTGAGACCCACTAAAGCAGCACCGCTGTATGCCTGGCAGGGTTGGTCCTACAAAGCCAAAGCCCCCTGATGGGTGAGCATAATATACAAGGCATTTCTCAAAGCTGCTAATGAGAACCTTGACGACCTTGTACCTAGCCGGTGGGGATTCCGGTGGGGTGCTGTTAGAATAATTATTAATGACTAATTATTACACCCTGAAACTGTGTGAAATGTGTTAGAATGTGTGAGTGTAGGACCAGTAAAGACTATGACATTGAGATGCTATTTAGCAATGTGAGTAAGAGTTAGACCAGACAACAAAGGACAAGGAGAGCTGTCTACAGACAGCTGAGAAACCAAGATAAAGAGGCCTCCCAATTTAGGGAGGAGAGAAACCGTTAGGCTTTTTAAAGAGTATGAAATATGGTGCAGGATATTGTGAGGATGGCGATAACTAAGGAATGCAGCCTATGATAAGAACATGTGTGTGTGACCTGATGGTTAGGAGAGCAGAGGAAAACAGCCTGCCTAAAAGGGGTGGGATTTTTGTATGACGTGTGAGTATAAAAGATGGACTCTGAAATTGGGATAACAGAATTCTCAATGAATAAAGGCCTGACTATGCAGACCGGGACTTCCGTTTCTTGATCCAAAAGCCTTACAACCTTTTGGGAGACGCACAGAGACACTGAAA